TAGATTCTTTGGTTCATCTTTAAGAGCTATAGCTGTTTTTTTAAGGCTTCCTTTATGATCACGGCCTTCATTGGTTGTGATTTGTGGAAACTGACTAACTAAATCAAGACTCTCTCTCGTACTTTTACCAGGCAAAAGTTTGAGATGTGTATCACCTTCTACTAGACCTGCCATAAGCCCCTCTTCTTTACCTGAGAACATTTTACGAATTGATGTTTCACCTTCTATTAGTATATTGCTTTTGTCATCTCTCTTTTTCATTACATCTCTTCCATTTCCTTGATGATCTTTATCAGTTACAGAGTCCACGGGTGACAAATGGCTTTCCTCAGCAGGTTTTCCTATTAAAACAGTCTCAGAGCACATTGTTTGATCAGAAGTTGAACGAATATCAGTATTATGTAAAATACCTACAGGACCAAAGGTCGGTTCTGATTCAGTGTCTTTAACGATAGGCAGCAATATCTCCTTAAGGGCCATCTCAGGATTCCACAGATTTTCTTTGCTTCTTCCATCCACTGCAGTTGTATTTTCTGGAAGGTTGCCTCTTTCAGTAGCTAAACTGCTTTTACTACTTGATTCTCGCTGTAAAACACTGACACTCTGCTGTTTTTCTAGAGAACTATAATTTTGCTCTTTACTCGGGAGAATCGCTTCATTGATACTTTGATTTTCATGGCTGTTTTCCCTTTCTTTCATAGTCGTAGCACACAACTGGATATCCATACCAGCAGCCTCATCTTGGCACATGGGCTTTTCCTTCTCATCTCCTACTCCTTCTTCTCCTTCATCATCATCATCATCATCATCATCATCCTCATCATCCTGATCGTGACTGTCACACAAATATTCCCCATAACTTTCTTCATATTGCATAGAATCAAAATGATCAGTATCAGATATCGATTCTTGTCCAGTTACATACCCTTCCTCTTTTCTCCCTCTCCAGCAGCCAGTGTCATCAAATGTCAATGAAGTACCGAAGCTCTCTTCCCTTCCTACTATTTCAGAATCAGTCAATAAGTCAGACTCGTCACCTTCTAGGTTATCTGTACTTTCCCTTTCGGATTCGGTTTCCAACAACTGTTCATTGGTCTTAGATGAGCCGACTGAATTTAAATGCATTCTTTCATCAGAATTTAACTCCGTTTTCTCCACACTTATGAGACAATCCTGAAAAGACTGGGCTTTCCCCCTCACGCTTAAGCTATCAACTAGTCCCCCCTGAGTCACCATAGGCTTTTCATCCTCTCTGGGAACATCATCAAAAACAGTGCCAGGACAGGCAGCCCCATCATTTTCCTCTCGCAGAGTGTCATAGTCCTCGGGTTGCAGACAATCACAATCATCACTTTCAAGAAGCAGAGAATCATGGTCATCGTCTTCAAACAAGGGAGTATCATAGAAATCATCATCGCTATCAGTGTCTGTTTCGGTGTCCTTCTGCTGATTATCCAGTAGTGATGTTTCATAGTCACCAGCACCAGCAGTTTCTTCAAGCAACGATGTGCCATAAGCATGAGATGCACTGGCATTATCAGGATCATCCGCTGGTGTTACGGCACAGGAGTACTCCTCCACTGTGGACTTGTTTTGCATGTCTTCAGGCTCCTGTTGAGAAGCAGCATGTATTTTTTCGTCTTCCCTACTAGTATCTGAAATAGCTTTGTCATTGTGACATTGTACCTGAGGATCACTATGAGCAGTATTTAAAGATTTTTGTCCACAGTGTTCTCCCTTCAAACTGACATTAATTGCTGCAATTCCTAGAAACTGGTCTTGAGGTTTTTCTCCCATTCTTGGGCCCAATAACATGGATTGGTCATTGGATGATGCTGTAGAGGCTTCACATTTATTTCCATTGCTCTCTGCGGTGTGTAAATCATTGAAACTTCCCCAATCATTCCTCAATTTATCTTGACTTAACAAGGCACTCAGCCTGGGAGAATAGTTAAAGGCAGGTGAATCCTTGCCTATCTTATCTTCAGTCTCTGTTTCTTTCAAGTTACAGATGTTATTAGTTTTTGATCTCACTATAGAGTTTGTTATCGAATCACTTTCAAGATTTTGCCTATGTTTAAAGTGACTACACTCATCTGCATGTTCACTTTTTTCAACTTGACTTTGATTGGCACAGTTTTTAGGTATATTTTCAGAGTCTGCAAGACCAGGCTGTGTAAAATCAGATGTGGAATTGAGGACATTCACATTGGATGAATTCTTAACTTTATGATCTGCTGCCGTTATATGTATCAGGTTTTCCGACTGACAAAATTCACTGACAACATTGGTTCCCATTTCATTAAACTCTTCTTCTAAGGCATGCTTTCTGTTTTCAGGGATTTCTTTAGGTTTAGGTTCTCCACAATGGCATTGGTCAAGACTACTTGGTGAAGTTATACTCTCACCCATTTCTTTACTTGGGGCATTATTCAGAAATACGCCAGGGAGTCTTAAGGCATCAATACATTCTTTTATAGGTGTATCCTCATCCAATTCTGTTCCACAGCCTTCTAGTAGCATACCAACAGCCTCGTTCAGGTCTCCATCGTACAGCAGCAGCCTTTGCCCTGTGTTTGCATCCATGTAGCTATTAATCATCAAGTAAGACAGGAACATTTTCTTAGTCTGTTCTGAACTCTGAGTTGCCACTGGCTCTTCTCCATCAAAACAATCTTCTTCTTGCCTATAATCATGGGCTGTCGATGGCTGGAATTTACAAAAAGAGAGCCACCTTCTGGCATTCTTACAAGCCTCTAAATCTCCCAAGTCTGGCATTTCATCGGGCAGTCTTATGCTTTTTAAAATCGATGCTGTGTTGGGATCTATAATTCCTAACTGCTGCGCATCATCTAAACCAATGACTTGAGAAGTTTCTGGAATATAAAAAGCAGCTATTTTCTGCCTGCCATTCAGGATTTTGTATGCCAATTCATTTGTAATCAACTTCTGCTGCAGGGAAGAAGATGCAGGAAATATTTCACCAGAGTGAGGCCAAATGAGTCCGACGTAGCCTCGCTGAGCCTCGAGTACCAAGAGAGCACTGCTCGAAGTTATTAGGTCACACTGGACTGCTTCATCTACAGTGAGACGTTTGGCAGGGTTTGAGTGGATGATCCCACCTGTTTGAACCTGGTATGTCAGAATGCTGTGGGCAGTATCTCTGTCAATCACCCCATCTGCCACAGCCTCTTCAACAGTCATCCTTTCACCAGAGTTGCAATTGATCAGACCTCCAGAAAAAAGCTGTGCACCTAACAACCGAAACATGGTTTCACGGTCTATGAGACCTTCATGAGCTGCCCTTAAAATGCTAATGCTCCTTCCACATTTTAATGTTATTCTGCCTCCTTCTTGTGGCCTCACAGGTAGAAGCCACAATCCAGTGTTTTCCTGTAAAATACTTCTTTCCATAATATCTACTAAAGACACCTTCTCAGAGGTACATGGATCGATAAGATCTTTGCACATCTTTTGCTTTTCCAAGACTTTAGAAAATAATGCTGAGGAAACCATGTTCTGTTGGAAAGCCTTCTGGAGGGTCAACTGCTCCCCTGTGGCTGGAATGACTAGAGAGCCTGTGGACAGCAGTATCTCAAGAACTCTGATGGCCATGGACTCTGATATCAAGCCTTGAGCCAAAGCATCCAGCACTGGAATTGTGGTGGAAGGCACAGCAGAAATAATCTCCTTTGCTTGATTCAGTTCTTTGAGTTGGCACAGAACTTGTTCATCAATGAGGCCTTGACTTTTGGCACCTCTGAGGTCAAAGCATTGTCTTAATTCTGGTGAAATCAAACCGGAAATCACTAGCTGTGTCTCAAGCAACCTTATTCCTGTGTCATAGTCGATAAGGCCTTTTAAAACTGCCTGAAAGACTGAAAGGACTTCTCCAGTTGTCTGGTCAAGGGTGCCTGCAATCACTTTATCCAGCTGAAAGGAAAATACAAAATCCTCAGGTCAGTCGGTGATTCAAGGGTGGGCAGGGTTTCACGAAACTTCGCATGCATTTTTAAAAAATAAACAATACACTTCAACATGAAAATCCTCTACTTACCAAGGTGTGGCAATGCTGTGAATGTTAGGCAGCTCAAATGCACAAGTGATCTATGTCAGTGATCTATTCAACAGCACAGGATGTGATAAAAGCTTTGAAAACAACATGCATCTGTGAATTGAAAACTTAATATTGTGTACATTAACAAGGTTAGTGAAGACACAACAGAGTAAATGACAACAGTGAGAAAAAGAACACGTACCTAGAAGGCAAACCATGCTTTCTGCAATTGGGTGAGATTAGTTTACTAACAGGAAAGAGAGTATCAAACCCCATGCTATTGATGTTTACAGCATACAGAATTCTTTCTAGTAAAAAATAATGAACCAGAAAAACTGTTACGTAACCCCAAAATATGAAAAATAGTGTGTAAAGTACTTCAGGGAATAAGGGAGTTGAATACAAAGGTAACTTTTTGAATCCTGAATATTGTATGGAATAGTGTGAATCTGTATTGTGAAGTTTTAAAATCTTAAGAAGAGGCCAAATTTAAGTGATTTCTGTTAGATTTTAAGATGATGCTAGGATATCTTCATTATAAATATGTTCCAATGTTATTCAAATAAATCTATGGTTATCGCTAAAAATCAAACAAATCCCATAACACTTCAACTTCACCTTTAGACATGACTCAGAATCTATTTTATAACATTATAATCATATAGTAAAATACAATGCAGCAGAAGAATGGCTTCTAAAGAGAAGAGTTAGAAAAATGAATGATTCTTTCCTTTTATCATGCAAGGCGCAGATTAAGATGTCACATAAACTGATGACAGCAAGTGAAAGATTGCAATTAATAAACAACACTGAAATCTCCAAATACTTACATAAATTCCATGTTTTTGCCATGTACACATTTCAAGGTCATTTCTTTACCATTTCTACAATCATGCAGTAAAACTAAGAACCTTGAAATAGCTTCATGTTTTAATAATATTACCTTCTCCTCTACCTTTACATCTCCTGTGGTTTGTAATTCTTGTAGTTCTTTCAGAGATCCACTAAAGAATAAATTATAACTTTCTTGGAGAGTTTTCATTTGTTTTTCCAGTTCACTTCTTTCTTCATCTGTCAATCTAAAATAACCAGAAAGTATGAAATGAAGAGTGCAAGTCTTCAAGCAATAAAAGTGATACATTAGGATTGATGATTTTATAAAGTACTTTTCTAAATAAGTATACAATCATAAAGTAAAATATCTCATATACAGACTGCACAGGTCTTAGAATGACTGTATATGGAAATTAAGGGTGGTGCTAAACACATCTAGGAATGCTTCTGTTGCCTAAAAAAGGGGGACTGAAGGAAAGAATATAAATTAATATATTAGCACCTCTCAAATGTATACACAAGAAGCATTAGCTTGTTAGTCCCAACATGGAAAAGGGACAATAAGATGAAACTTGTTGAAGCTGAAGGATGAGTGAAGAGGAAATTAACCTTATTCTCTAAGGTACCATACAAAATCATTCTAGAATAATCCTAAAGTGGCCAACCAAATAGGTAGATTCCTTCCCTGTCTGAGGCATGAGCTAAAATATAAGCAATGCCTTGTTGCAAAAAGTAGGATCAAAATATGAGAAATCAGGTTGCCGTAGGTCTCAGTTAAGAAAATGGAGAATTTACTTACACACATTTTCCAAAAGATAAGTCTCAGACAGTACTACTTAAATTAAGACCTGGCTTGCAGTCTTCACAACTCACTAGCTACTGATCCTCTCTGAGCTTATTTTCTTATCAATAATATTATATATGGGTATAATAAGAACCTTCCAGGCTTTGGGTAAAGGCAGACTAAAGTGACCAAAAAGGACAATTACTTAAATTGCTAAATTTATAATCTCATGTAAATTTATAGTCTCTCAGTAAACTATATTACTAAACTATATTACAATTACTTAAATTGCTAAATGTATAATCTCAGTAAATTTATAGTCTCTCAGTAAACTATATCAAACTTGTGATTGAGTTCCATTTTTTAAATCACAGCTGAAATTTACCATCTTCTATTTTGCCAAATGTTTTTAAGACTACTTTCCTGTATTGATAAAAACATTCATGAAAACCAACATACTTGTCTCCATGTTTAGCCAAAAACAGCTGCATGGTTTGAAGTGCCTCCGATAATTGTTCCTTCTTGGTTAATATTTCTTCACTGGAAATCTGTAAGGTAATGAAAATGCTTTCATATTCTGCCCTCATAGAGGCTAATCAACAGTAATTTTTTAAAAATGAGTCCAGTTTCATCAAGACTCAAATGATATCTATTTTCTGAGGGTCCCAAGTCAATAACTTATTACTTATTATCAGTCTAAGGGCCTGGATAAGAGGAGTGCTTTACTTTTAGAATGCATAATTAAGAAAAGCCTTTGTTATTTCATAAGGAAGTAATAATACGGCATTATACGGTTCCTGCATTTGTGCCCTGCAACCATGAATCAGGGTTGCCTTATCCCAGTGGTTCAGCACGGGCCCAATGTCTTCCTTGTGCCCAAAACATACATGAATGAAGAACACTACTCCCAATGAGTATCATCCTTCCCCCATGCTCCTGGATACCATGCTCCTCTTAAAAAAAATTATCATGACAGTTTAATCTGTATGTCTGCAGATCAAGAGTAAATAATTTTTATTGCTAAGGCTTTCACTTGTGAAAGTTGCCTGTGATGGTCAGAGCCATAAAATTGATTGAGGATAATACACAACACTTTCTCCTAATTTCTAGTATATAATTTCTGAATACCTAATATCAGAAATTAATTGCCATTCTTTTAAATGAGCAGAAATGAGAGTAAATGATGGACCAATGAAAGGGACTCATTCCCCTTGATGTATTTGACTTACTAGTACAATAATTTCAAGTCTATTTTCCATGGTTACAGGTAATAATGGACCCATATTGATATTTGAAAAACATTTATTATTCACATCAAATTGCTTTAAATTCTTTTATCACATTTATTAGAGATTTATAATTTAAGCCACAGTCTGCATTTTAAAAAAATGTCTACTTTTATGTCCAGTAGGTCTAAAATTGGGCTAGTAAATTTTGGGAGAATTTAAAACTGCAGAATGAGAAAATACCAATAGATTACAATCCACATTTCTCCAAAGAAACTATTTTCCCAAGATATTCTTGCTAAGCTCTTGTCCCTATTTTAGTTATTTTCCTATTTGACAAGAGGGGAAGAAAAGAAGACATTTTAAACTAAATATATGTATAATACTATTTTGAAGGTTTTGCATTTAAAACATTGACTGTAGTTGCTTTCCAGCTTCTTATTTCTTCCACACCATATGAACTATAATAGCAAGACTATGAGAGAATATGGCTTTATTTCATTGAATAATCAAGTATATACGCAGGTTTGTAAACTTCAAAGGGAAGCCCTGTATAAATACATCTGCCTCATGCCGCAGGGAAAATTGACAAGACGCTGAAGTTTCGCGTTTACTTATGTCAACAATGTCAGCTGATGATGAGTACGGATGCCCAGCTAGCGGGGGAACACTAATGATAGCTGACAGCCCCTCAAGTTTCCAAACATCAGGCAAGGGCAGGGTAGGACAAGTTTTCCCAAAAAACGTGCTGCTTAATTTAGCAGCCATATTTAAAAAACACAGCTGCAATTCCGGTGCTGACACCACCAGCAGCAGCAATCCTGAAATTCACACCTTAAGGACCAATGCCCCGAGAGCTTCAAGCAGAGGCAGTGCCATAGACACCAGGGAGCACTGGCACCTCAGAAGCTGGGTCTCTCCTGCTAATGCCAAATAGTTAGGGTTCAGAAAATAGCCCAGAGAACTAAAGAATTCATGTAGGTAAGGAAAGAATCTAGAATTTCCAGTGGTTGGCTAGAGAGCACTTCTTCACAAAACAAAAAAAAAGGTCCAGAAAGGCACAATTAAACTCAAACCTCCAAAATGTAAATATCCCAGTTCGTATTTTTGTAATTCTAGGAAGCTTTGTTTACATTTGTGAAGAATGAGACAACCTACATTTGTGATACGAAGGATTTACTCTGGGCACAAAACAGGATGCCTCTGCTCCTCTTTGGCAATTCTCCAAATAGTCATCAAGAAGCAGGTCTAACCATTAGGAAAAGCAGCGCAACATATCTGTTTACTACTACTAAAACTAACATACATAGTTCAGGCTTTGGAATCAGAAACACCTTGTCCTACTGTGATTCACTGGGCAAGTTACTTAACCTATGTGGTCCTCATTATAAATACATAAAAATTGGGCGGGGGGAGAGGAATGGGGGGAGAGACATGGAAGAAGGGTAAAGAACTGTCATGTCAGTAAACTCTACCCACTATTATTATGATTAACCAGGACCTCAGTGAATACCTTTTGCTTAGAGAAGGGAGATTTCCCAGCCTTCTCTCCATCTCTCAAGGTCTTGCTGATATTTGACACCCATTTCTGTAATTCTTTGGCTTTTTCAACATGCTCTTTTTTTTCTTCTTCCAGTGACTTCTGACAGGTGTGAGTAGTAAGAAAAGAGATATTCCAGTAAATGACTGAGCTATGAAACTCACCTCTCCATAGAACACAAGTGTAAAAATGTGTTTTCATCACACTCAGGTTCCTGAGATCTTTTATTCATTCACTTAACCATGCTTATCACGTCACGTAGCAGATGTGTTTCCAAAATGTTTATGGTAGCCAAGGAAGCTGTTACAAATATGCTTCCATGTTCAGTCTACCCTCCCAGCTAGTCTATCAATAACAAATTGAAAAAAAAAAAAACATTTTATTTTATTCATGAAGCACTAGAAGGCCTCTGAGTGGCTGCCTTTGCATTAGCAGTACAAACACAATTGCCTTGGCAGAAAAGTAGGAAACAACAGAAGGCTGAAAGAATAGAGAAGGTGTACACACATTTGGAAAATACATAAAATGAAGAAAAGTCTTTCCTCCTCCCCCAACACACAATCTAGTCATCACAAAATCTAATGGGAGATTGTGGTAAACGTTTAATGTGTAAAGAAGGCTACTACATACAGAAAGACTAAACCCTTTTGCATTTTTCAAGGCAATCTGAAACACCACTGCTACAGGGATGTTGGGTAAGAATGTGCATCTCTCCCTTTGGTTCCATGTGAGCTCTTTCAGTGAGGGCGAGGGATCATCCAATGGATCATCAGGCTGGACCCATTCAGTGGTGCAGAGTTCTGAGGAAAGGATGCTCTGAACTAATTGGAGTTCAAGCTTATACTATATTCTAGGCAAAAATACTTTTATTTGTAGTGTGGGCAAGATAGAAGGAAAAAAAAAAAAAGAACTCCTCTCAAAGTTAAATGAAACCTTTTTTTGAGAGCAGTAAATCTTTTGTGATTTTCAATTTTATTCTCTCTTCTGCAGCGTCAGCGATTTCCAGCCCTCCAGAAATAAATGTTGTGTTGAGTATGTGACACAATTGCTAGACTGCATGTTTAACTGACTTCATCATGCTCTGGACAGCTCACGACTGGACTGCATCGCTCCCGTGCAAAGTTATTTCGACATGTTCTATTGTGACGAATAATAGAGGCTAGAAATTCCTGTCATCCAGGGTTCAGATACTTCCAAGAGTTTAAGCCCTGTGTGGAAATCAAAATCAGCCTTTTCTAATGCTTCTTTGTATGTCAACTTTCTTTTTGTTTGGGGACATATGATATTTCTGGCATACGACTTTTGATCTTTGAGGTTGGTGGCAAGGAAGACATCGATAATACCTACTTGGAGGGCCTCTTCGATGGACAACCGGGTGTGACCCTGTGGCTCTATCAACCCCCCAGTCAGGTACTGATACTCCAAACATCGGATTCCCATCTCCTTACTGATGATATTTGCGTTCACAGCATCCACCACTGACATCGCTTTGTTTGTGACGGGGTGGCTAATGCCTGTGATGACTAACTCACACTGGCGCAGCTGCTGGGCAAACCCCTCATCCACGAGGCCTCGATGCAAAGCTTCCCCCACCCGGTACCTTTTGCCAGTAAGAGGATCAATGATCCCCCCTGTGCTGACTTGGGCTTCAAGGCATCGGAGGGCCGTAATCCGATCAATCAAATTTCTGCGGGAGGCCTTTAGGACAGAGATCCTTGCCCCACTGGACGTCAGCCAATACCCTGCAATAGGACTACGCAAATCCTTCTTGGGAACTAACCGGCTCAGCAAAGAATCAGCAAGTTCTGTGAGTGTGATGAGGCCTTCCTGATACTTTTGGACCAAGGCTTTGTCGAGTGTTCCCTGTTCCACGGCCTCATCAATATTGAACTGCAATCCTGTTTTAGTGTCAGCCAGCATGTGAGAAGGATTCCCATAGGTTTCAAAAAACGTGGCTTCCCTCCACTGGTACTGCTGCCCTGAGAGCTCAAGGTATGTGCTTTTGTCTATCAGGTTTCTAAGGAAAGCGTCATACGCAGTCAGTTCTGTGCCTGTCTTAATATCTACCACGGAAATCCTATGAGTTTTTGCTACATTCAGATTGGAAATGTCCCTCTCCCCAAATGGAAACAGAAAGCATTGGCAATCTACATCAAATACACACATCTGCAGTAATTCTGAATAATACAAGGCTTGCTTGTTATTGGGATTAGGAAAGACTCTTGTGTTGCTTGATGGCTCGTGTAAGAACTGTAGGATGGCATTATTTAACAAGCCTTGCTGCAGGGCCATTTCTGGTGAGACACGCACTCCTCTTACAGGGTCAATGACGCCCCCGCTGGCAATCTGAGCCTCCAAGATATGTTTACCTTTTTGCCTGTCAAGCACTCTACTCTCCATAGCCTGAAACACTGACAAGGTCTTAGAATTATATGAATATCCCACGGCTGCCTTCTCTGCCTCAAGGAGCCTAATTTTGAATTCGGGGTCAATAACCCCTTTAAGGATTGCATCTTCGACAGAATACGTCAGACCTGAAATGGGATCAATTATAAAACCTGTGGCAGCCTGCGCTTCTAAAAATGCTAGAGCCATCATTTTGTCTATTATGATTTTCTTGGCTGCTGAGGTGAATGAAATCTTTTCTTTTGTGGATTCTAAGTAAAGCCCTGCAATCGAGGTGGCTTTCGTCAAAAACTTGCTAAGCGTTTTCTGAACGTCTTCAACGGTCTTAAGACCAAGTCGCAGCTGCTCAATTGTTTTCATGTCCAGAAGCTTAGCCTCAACCAACTGCCTGGCCGTCACCGTGTGCCGGAGCCCTTGGAATGTAAACTCATCGTCCTTAACCAAACATGACTGGTCGCCATCAGCGTTCTGGAAGGTTTCCGATTCTAAGCCTGTCTTAAGAAAATCTCCTCTCTTGAGTCCAAACATCCATCCGTCAGTACTGGACACGGGTTTCTTTTCTTGTTTTAATGTTGTGACTTCTGTATGGATATCGTACTGCTTGTTCTTAGCTATCTGTAACAGGAATTTATAAGGCGTTAAAAGTCATCTAAAGAACACTGTCACTTTACTCAACCCAAATATAATTTCTAGAAAAACAAAGGTGCGATAAGTAAAAAGAAGAAAAATTTCAAACTAAATATGATTCAGGAATAAATAATAGATTTTGAAAGTCTGAAGCTTATTTAGATGACAATTGACGTATTAAAAAGGTATGAATGGCCCTAACCTGTTTGGCTCGTTGGATAGAGCATTGGCCTATGAACTGAAAGGTTCTAGGTTTGATTCTGGTCAAGGGCATGTACATTGGTTGCGGGCACATCCCCGGTAGCGGGTGTGCAAGAGGCAGCTGGTTGATGTTTCTCTCTCATCGATGTTTCTAGCTCTCTATCTCTCGCCCTTCCTCTCTGTAAGAAAATCAATAAAATATATATTTTTAAAAACACAATACAATATGATGTATTATAGAATTATACATCTGAAACCTGCATAATTTTATTAACCAATGTCACCCCAATAAATTCAATTTCATGAAAGAGAAGAGAAAAAGACTAAGATGATATTTTTCCACAGAACATGTTAGAAATTAAAGTTAATTGCTTGGTTTTTCTAGCTTTTTTATGGGCATATTTTTCAGAATATAACCCCACAGGTATAACATATAGCCACTACATTCATGTGTTTAATTTCAAACATTTAAAAAGGAAAGATTAATAATCTCTAGTAAAGATTCAGTAAATCGCTAGAAAATGATAGCATTATTTCCTATCAGAACAACCAAAAGCCAATCACATTTATCGTTATTTTTAAATAATCTGGTCTAGCAAGGAAAGGAAACTTAACCCAGGTAGCTGATAAGGTCTGGGAATGCAGATTATACCTCTAAGGGTGCCAAAAGCTTCACCAGGTCCACTTCACATTTGTCATCTTGACATCTCACAGGTGGCCTGGCATTGTACCGAGCTTGATCTCTTATCTTCTCTATTTCTGATAGTCTTGACATAGGGTTTTTGTCATCAAAAGTTATCTGCAACTCAGTGCTTGTTTGAGAAAAATACTCGGAGTAACACTGCTGGCTTTTCTCTTTCTCCAGCGGGGACTTTGACAGCCAGCAATGGGCATCCTTTTGTGGTTCTTGAGTCCATCTCAACAGAGGAGACCTGGGCGTCGGGTGAAGCTGTCCCGTGTTCCTCGAGAAGAGGTCTCTGGAGTGTTGACATTCCTTCACTGACGCCTCAAAATCTGGTTTGAAGCTACAGTCCTTGACGGGGCTCTTCTTTTGGATTTCACACTGGAGCAAAAGTAACTGATGCTCGTGCTCCTTTATCTGTTGATCCATTTTGTGCTTCAGGTTTTCAACTTCACGTTTCTGGGCCGCCAGCTCCTCTTCAAGTCTCCGGCATTTCTGGTAATGATTTGCTTCCACATTCTGCCCCTGCTGGATCTGCTCCCGGTATTGTTGAAGCTGTCTCTCAAGTTCTCGAATATTTGTCTCGCAGAGCTTAGCATTCTCCTGAGCTCTGCAGTTTTCTCGCTGAAGAGACGCAAAGTCAAGTTTGATGCTGGAAATGTCATGTTCAGTGATAACTTTGGAGCCCATTAGTTTTTCCATCTTTTTCCGAAACTCCTCGGCCGAACGTTTGAATTTCTCAGATTCTTCCTGAAACAAGACCATCTTTCTGTGGATCATCTGTTCCTCTATGGTCTTTAAGTGCAGTTCGTCTTGTACCCTTTTCAGTCTGTTATTTAACTCTTGCACCTGAGCTTGCTGGATCTGGACTTTCTGCTCCCCCAGTCGCTTCTCCTCTTTGGAAGCATATAGCTCGGCGTTCAGATTTCGAACCTCTTTCTCGGTATTCTGGATGATGATGTTCTGCTGGTCACACTTCTGCTTAAACTCGCTTACTAGATTTAGACTTCTGGCCAGGTCTTCTTCGAGGCATTTGATTTTCCTGTGGAAATCCTGCTCTGTTTTCGTCTGTTTGTGCAAGTGTTCGTTTGTGCTACGTAGCTGATCTTTAAAACCATCCGCCTGGATTTTCAGTGCTTCACACCTTTGCTGGATAGCTTGTTTCTCTAAAACCACGTGGGTCGATTCTGCCTGAATTCTCTGCATCGCTAACTTGGTCTCATTATTCTGCCTAATCAGCTCGTCTACCTTTTGTCTTTGCATTTCTGCACACTTATTACTTTTCTCCAATTCTTCCTTCAGCTTTTGGATTTTTGCATCGTTTTCTCTTTCAGCTTTAATATTCTGGAGCAACTGCGCGTGGCTTTTCTCAAATTGCTCTTTCAGGTGATCTGATTTCCTCTGGCACGACTGCATTCTTTCGTTAGAGAATTCCTTCTCGCCCCGAAAAGAATTCACCTGTGACTTCAGATGCTGAATATTCCTCTCGGTGATGGCATGCGTCCTGGTGATGCTGTCCACTTCTCTCTGCAGCTTCCCTTTCTCCTGTTGAAGAGATTCCAGTTCCACCTCGTAGCTCTGCTTTATCTTCTTGAGGTCACTGGCTTCCTGCATGACTTCTTCGGCTTTATCCGTGGTCTGGTTCAGCTGCCGCCCCAGTTCCCTGAGCTGCTGGGAGTACCCTTCCTCTACCTGGTCCTTCCTTTCCAACTCCAGCTTCAGGCACTGCAGGGTGGTATTCGTCTCGTCTAGTTTCTCTTTCAGCAGGCGAGCCTTTTCCTCGGAGGACGTCTTCTCGAGCTGGAGGGCACTGAGCTCGTACTTGAGCTCCCTCATGTCCTTCTCGGCCTTTCTGTTGGCGGCCATGAGCTCATCCACCTGCTGCTTGAGCTCCTCTGCCTTCTGCCTGTCCCGCTCCCCGTGGGCCGTGGCACACGGGGGCGCCGCGCTCTCCCTGCAGGTCAGCTGCATCTCCGTTATCTTTCTCCTCGCTTCCAGCTCGATTTTCTGCTTTTCTTTCAGCTGCTTCTCCGCTATCTGCTTCTGGGACATCAGGTCCCTCTCCATCTGCTTCATCCGCTTCAGGAGTTCCTCCTCGTTGTCCCTCTTCCTCCTTAACTCCTCCATCAATTTATTCTTCTGCTGCTCCAGGTCACTGAGGCTCGAGTCTTTCCTTTTCAGGTGATCCTCGAGGGTCCTTCTGGTGAAGGTGTTTTCCTCCAGCTGCCTCCGGAAGTTGCGGAGGTTTTCCTCCACGGCCTCCCGCTTGGCCTCGGCCTCCAGGGTGAGCCGCCGCACGCGCTCCAGCTCCCGCTCGGCCGCCTCCTTCTCCCGCACGAAGGCCTCCAGCTCCCGGCGGTACCGCTTGGCTTCGCCCTCGGCCCTCATCTTCTGCAGGGCGATGTCTTCCACATTCCGCTGCTGCTTCCTCAGTTCGTTCTCTGCAGCCTCCTTGAGCTTGGGGAGCTCTTCCTCTACGCGGGACTTCTGTTTCCTTAGCTCGGCTACCATGCTCTCCAGCTCGCTTATCTTCCCTGTGAGTTTGCAATTCTCCATCACCGTGGCCTTCTGGCGCTGAAGCAGATCGGAGTAGGCCCCGTGCTCAGAATTCTCCTTACACCTTTTCGTCTAGGAGAGATGTGTAAAAGTGTCAAGCCTGTTTTATTCCCTTTTTTTTTTTTCTTTAAAAATCTGAAGCGAGGCTCCGGAAAGTACTTACAGAAACAGGCAAACCCCAATGCAGAACAAGCACTATCCACCACCATCACCACCATCACCACCACCACCACCTTCTTCTGAGAGGAAGCTTCAGGCAGGCAGCAAAAGGAGAAGACAAAAACCCTTCTGTGGCTTTCTAAACCTTTTTTTTTTTTGTCTCTCGGAAATAATTCGGTTGTAAAAATTAGCTAGCTCAGGGTTTTATAGCAAGAAGGGACCTTCCGGAACATACAGCCTATAGATGAGGAAACTGAGGTACAGGGAGGTTAAGTGAACTTGAAAAGTTTCACAACAGTATTTTCCTGCTCTTGCTCACAACTGAGTCCAAGCTAAGACTATACAACACACAGGTACCAGATGACATTCACGAATTTAGTTTTCGATGTCTAGCCCAATGGAAATTGAAAATGATGTTTACATCCCTATTTCATGGTTAAAGAAACAAAACACAGAACTTTGGGACAGAGAGCCAAATCAGGAAATAAAACGTAACACAGGGAAGGAAGAACATTATACAGAAACTTGCCATTTCTAAAGTCAAAATTTTTACTTGTTTATATTGCCATATTATAATTACCATCGGAATTGCTAATGCAAAGGCAGCTACAGTCCCTGGTGGCTTTAGAAAATACGTGTTTCACATACTCACAGATTTTGTTGTTCTTGTTAATGACATGTCTCCTAGGAATCCACCTTGACAAGTACCTTTAGATACTCCGTAAATACAAAGATATTTGTTAAATATAATGTTTGTTAAAATATTCTTAGAGATTCAGCTCCATATAGAATAAAATGTAAGAAGATTTTTTTTTTTGTTCTATTAATGATAGAAGCGATCTCAACTGGGAGGAGTAGACTTTGCATTGACTACAGAACTACATGGTCAGGGCTAATTCTTCATTACAATGTAATTTCTCTGTATTAACACCATTAGGTTGTTAGTTTCATATCATCAACCCAAAATCATAATTATAACAGTTTAAACGAGAATAGAAAAATGATTCTAGAGAGCAGATATTTTTAATTTTTTTTAAATTGAAAAGCTTTGATGAATTTCAATAATTTAATTTACACTATAGACCATATATCTTATTTTGCTTCCTCTAATTCCCCAATAATTTTGACAAGAACTTCAATTGTTTTCTTTGCTAACCTAAATATGGTTTAAATAAGAATTCATATAAAACAAATCTCATATCAGTCTGCAATACTTAGTGCTGATGCTCTATTTTGTTATCAGGGTCAACTTTTAGGGACACTGAAGTATCTTATCTGTTTAAATACTAAATTTTCAATATTTATTGAGTAGTTGATTTCTAATATGGTATTTCTCAATTCCTTATCAAAACCTCTTTAAAATTTGCTAAGAAGTTTTGAGCCTTTTCTTCTTGGTTATGTTCTAAGGTTTGAAAAATAAAGAAGTCTCTTGGGGAAAAAATATATTGTTGAATCCTTAGTGTCTTAATTAAAGTAATTTTACTGTTTAATAATCTCACATTGTCTAAATACTCTGAATTTTTTAGCAAATATTATAAAAATTACAAAAATCATTTAGTCCTGTTGCTCATTTGCTTTCTTCTAGATCTCACACTCACTCATATAAAAATAACTCCCTCAGTTTTCTTCAACTTTTCCCTAAGGAGACATGTGCTCCTTTAATCTCAGCATTTAATCTTTAACATACAGTACTTTGCTCTATACAAAGATAGAAAATCTCCTTATCTAATACCCATTACAGATACTCTCCTTTCATTTCTAATTTGATATTATCTTCTGAAATTAACTTGCATCCCTCTTTGATTTTAATGTTTATTATGAAAAATTCTACTCTCAGACCAAGGTTTCCCATGTGGCTCCTCAGAGACTCGGTTTCAGAAACACTGCTCTTTAGAGTCTAAAAACTGAGCTATATATCTTTTATAAAAAATATCCTTTACATTCTATTATTATGATTCCTAAGTAATGAATTTTTTTCATGAACTTTTAAAATCTATTTTATAGTACAGTCTTTGCATGGTATATATTGTTCTGTCTTTCAATTCACTATCATTCTTTTTCATTTCAAAGGATGAGAAGCACAATTTGTAAATATTTAGACTTTATGAAATACCATTCGATTCTATCTCATCAGATAAATTGAGCAAAGTGGCTCATGTATGTGCAATAAGATATATACTATAAAAAAGGAAAAGGACTTAAAGTACTTTAAAAATATAATTTAAAAGACCTGTATGACATTTAAAATGGAAATGTATCCCTTAAAAAAGTAAAGATATTAAAAATTATGGATGTTCTTCCATAAATGAGAGGTGTATGCCAATTATTTGCATGGTCACAAATATTTTGATTCTCCTGTCTAAGCAAAAAGAAAGCTAGTTATAAAGACGTGCAATTAGCTATGTTAGTGACTTAGTTGCAGAAAATTGTTAACATTGAACAGACTAAAATAGTTTACAAAAGCAATGACATTTTTAGAAACTAGGAATGTAATATCCATTAGACATGGACTGCTGTTTTGGCTCTCTCATTATATGAACAGTTATATTAAGTATAATTATCTTCAGAATTTTCAACAACAGTCTATTTTAAAATGACTAATGCCCCACAATTTACTAATTTTAGCATTCAGTCTACTATTTTTGTCTGTTCTAAAGTTATGAATAGAAATCATACCAAGATAATAGAGCATAGCATAATCCCTTCAAAAGTATATATAATAATCTTTTATGACAAGATATTTATAAATAACTCCTTACTCTATTTGTGAATGTATTTTTTAAATGCTGAATCCAAGCTACAGAAGTACTCCAAATTAGAGTGATACTTAAACATTCTTTTTACTATATACCAAATCTTTTTGGCAAATGAATAAATATTAATAAATTTTAAAAACTGTGCAATTCTTAAAAAGTACTACCATTTTGTACAAACATCTACTACTTCTAAATAAAACTGTGTTTTATATCCTTTAAGATGTAAAATAATTTAAAATGCATAAAGCAAATTTGTTTATACAGTATTTCTGCAGGCATTGTAACAGTAGTAACTATATTTCAAAGTATACTTCTCAATTGTGAGACAACTGAGAAAAATTCCACCAGTGTCAAAATTTCAGAATTTAAGTAGAAACATTTAAGACATTAATCCTATCATAATGCAGTCCTACAGTGAAAATAAAAATTTTCTATTTGGGAAAAATCTTTAAAATGTTAAAAAAAAAAAAAAAATCCAAGGCCTCTACTCTTGTACATTATAATTTTATAATAAAACAGTTACTTACATATCAGTTATCAACCATATAAATTTACCATGAAACCATTTTTGTTTTTCCAAATCATACTATATACTTCCTTTTCAGTTAGATGTTCATACTTAATGGTTACCTCTTCCTCTTCCAGCCTCTTCAATGAATCACCAGCAAATTTAATATATTGTGTCATGAGGGTGAGCAGAGCAGTATATCGTGTCCGTAGGTCCATGAACTGCAAGTAAGAAAAGAATAATAAAAACATAATCTCCAGATGCTCTACCTGAGTTGAATAAACATTAACAACTACAATATAAAGTAGGCTTTGCGAAAGCAAAGTATACAACCCCCAGTAATAGTAACTGGAATTAGCTTACTACTGCTGTGCAAACCATACTAAATGGCAGTTTTCTTCTACATTTCATCAAGAAGTACATTTATTATCATCTGCAATTAATAATTAATCCAGATTAAAGATTTTTATAAAGTGTAGTTTATAGATAGAAACTTTCTTTTTTGGAATGTTGAAAATTTTCTGGAAATGGTTAGTAGTCAAGGCTGCAGAATATTATCAGTTTACTAAATGCCAATGAATTGTGCACTTAAAAATGGCTAAAATGATCAAGATTCCATGGATATTTTATTAGGTAAATATATAAAATTTTTAAAGTACTGTTTCTCTCCCTTACACTCCCTCCCTTCTCTGCGGTACTTGTATTACCTCTTGGATGATGAGATCTGCGGAGCTCTGCATTCTTCGGCGTTTCACTGGAGACTTTTGTTGTGAATCTACCATGGCCCGGTAGGTCATTGTTTGTAATTCGTAGTCCTGGATAAAGGAGTCAATGAGATGAAATTAATTAAAGCAAAGAGCTAAGGCTTCCTAATGGATCTTAGTTTCACTGAAAGACTTTAAAGAAAATATCACAAAACAATATTTTTAGAAACCTATCCCATCCTGACATGTCCACTCAGTGGTAATAAAATCAGAAACATTAAGGATGGTGAGGAAAGTTCCTAAGTCTCTTTAGAAACTCATGGAAACATTTAGTACAATATGCTAGCTACACTCAGCCTCCTTCTCCTCTAGCTAGGCAATGGCAATGGGTATGTGGGTGGCTGAAGATGATATATTACTGAAGATTTCACAATGCATGAGAACAGAAAATGTTAGAGGTTCTTTAATGGGATACTCTAGCGCTGTTAAAGAAAGGAGAGAGAGGGCAAGATCAAAGCTGAGAGGAGGCAAAGAGGGAAGTAGAGAGAGAGGTGGCCCGAAGTGGTTAAGAAATGAATTTTAGCCTTAGCCAGTTTGGCTCAGTGGATAGAGTATCTGCCTGAGGACTGAAGGGTCCCAAGTTTGATTCTGGCCAAGGACACATGCCCCGATTGCAGGTTTGATCCCCAGTGGTGGGACGTGCAGGAGGCAGCTGATCAATGATCCTCTCTCTCATCATTGATGTTTCTATTTATCTCTCCCTGCTTCTCTGAAATCATATATATATACATTTTAGCCCAGCTGATGTGGCTCAGCAGTTGAGCATCAGCCTATGAACCAGGAGGTTATGATTTGGTTCCCAGTCAGGGTACATGCCCGGGTTGCAGGCTCGATTCCTAGTAGGGGATGTGCAGGAGCAGCCGATCAATGATTTTCATCATTGATGTTTCTATCTCTCTCTCCCTCTCCTTTTATCCCTGAAATAAAAAATATATATTTTTTAATGAAATTAACTTCAGAGCTCTGTATTTCATATGTGTATAGAGGGGCATTTGTGCATGTGCTGTGCAACATAGAGAAAATGAACAAACCAAGGGCTCTTATGTGACTCAGATGTCAAAGAATTATAAGGTATGTAAGTGTCAAAAAGTTTTCAAATGAAGACTGTTTTCACTTTCAACACAGAGTGAAATGACTTGTAAAGGCTTTGAAAGTTCATTGTAGAATCACATGCCCAAATAGTAAATTTGATAGAAGTAAATAACTGAATCCACATACCTTCACTGTAGTTGAGTACTGTTCTGCATATTTTTGACATTCATCCATTTTGCTCTGTTTCATTTCTATCTCTGACACCAGCATCTATAAATACACACAATTTAGAAGAAAAAGGAGAAAGGTATTCTATGCTATTCAACCACTTAAGATGCTCAGGAACTAAGAAATATCCACATAATTTAAAAGTATTACTCCTTAGCCCTTAGCACATAATATGTAATGTGCCTTATGGGTCAATCACAAACTTCTAGATTAAGCCATATAAGTGGCCCACCCACATGGGGCTCTAAAGCAAAAGTTACAAAACTTCATAAAAATTATCCAAAAGTAGACTTAATCCCTTGGCCCCCACCTATCCCTGATCATAACAGAGCTAAAAATTATTGGCCCTTCAAGACAGAAAAAAATCTCAAAGCAATGAACTTTCTGTCAAATGTGACTATTTAATTTTCTGCCACTAATCATTTTCATTTATTTAGGATCCCATAAAACTATTGTGACCAGCGAGTTACAAAGAGATTTCCATACTATGATTAAATGATCACTAGAAATTTTAAAATTACCCCAACATGTCACCTTCTTAGTCCTTAAGCTTTCAAAATGACTTCCAAGAAATCAAAGTAAGTGATATGTATAGGTTTGCATTGCAAGATTTTAATATTTATGATTTTTCCTACATTCTTCCAAATAGCTTTTTGTGTTTTCTTTTAACAAAGGAAAGTAAGATAGAGGTCATTACTGGCCAAAGTCAAACATAACCCTAGCACAGGGAATTGTGTTCACATACCTTCTGTTGATTCAGCTGTGTGGCTAAGGTTTTACTATTTTCAGGCTGATTTTCCTGAATCTTTCTCTGAGTAATTTCAACCTGTTGGATCCAGTCATCTAAAGGGTGATAGGTATCTCTGTAGTACTTCAGTGATTTGCCAATGCCTTCTAAGTCCCGTAACCTAAAAAAATAACAGAACAGTCACCGTCTCCAATAGCATTCATTAGAAGGGTGATAAGTATAGTGAAGAAGGGAGAGGCAGACTAACTGTACTGCAATGCACTAAGCACAACAATTCAAGGGCACAGCACCCTGAGACACACCTCTAAGGGTAATCATGTTGGCTTGGGTTCCATCTAAATATTTTATTCATGGAGATTTAGCCATAACCATTATCAATCAGCATGCCTTGCATACCCAAAGCTTGCATCAGATGGCAGTTCACTTTAGAAATAAGGACAAGATGTTCAGAGAATTGTTCAACATGGACTGAGAGAGGACTTTCCAGGAGTTGTGATTAAATGATTCAGTCTATATGATTTAAAATCACTAAATTAAACCTATATATCACATATTTTATAGAGGTGTGATATTCTATATTTGAATATAATTTTACTTCTCAAGAATGGTATTATATCATAAAAGCATTTTCTTTGCATTAATATAAACATGAAATTAATGAGAAAGACACTATTCTGTTTCTTTTAAGATGGAGACCTAAAACCATCAAATTTCCTTTCACTTTATTTTATTTCTTTTCAATGTTTTTATATCTCCCATAAAAGTGAACATCAAATCACTGCAATTTATTTACATCTCTTAGGTCTAGTAGAGAGTGCAACATGGCTCATGCTCTTACTAAATCTTGTAAGTTGGTAACAATTTTGAATTATTTAAACATTGTGTTTGAGTATTGTAAGCTGTAATAAAAGGAGAACTATACTGTTTTACCCTACTTGCCTAAAGGCAAGTAGATTAACTATCCAAATACCAGAGTATATCAATAATTTTAATAACATAAAATTGAAATTTTTATTTTGAAGTTAAATATTTTATTTAAATCCAACATTTAAGAAAGAATATAATTAGATAGAGCTCTTTAAATGAACTCTCTCTCTCTCTCTCTCTCTCTATATATATATATATATATATATATATATATATATATATATTTGGCTAACATATAATGTGTCCCCTCAGGAGACTAGGAGACCACGAGTTTGATCACACACTATGACATGTGCTGACCACCAGGGGGTGGCACAGAACAAAGGAAGGTCCCAGCCAGCAGCTGGCAGCCAGAGAAGGGAGGCCCCAGCCAGCAGCCAGAAGGCCCTGATCGGCCCTAATCACCAGCCAGGCCTAGAGGCCCTACTAGTGCATGTATTTTGTGCACTGGGCCTCTATTTAAATATGTCAAATTACTATGTATAAGAAATTAACTATACATAAAGGATTTTAAAACAGCCTAATAAGTTTAGGTTTTACCTAGAATATAAGGATAGACATTAAATCTGTACTAAACCTGAACAAAAAAAGAGATACTAACCTGTTGTCAATCTGAACATGAACATTTTGCCACCTTTCGGCTAACTGATCGGCCTTTTCTTTGTGCCAGTCAAAATCAAGGTCCCGTTCTTTGTATGTCTTAAACATTTCATCACTGATCGCTTTAGCCTTCTGCAGCTCATCCTCCAATGAGTGGAATACCTCTCTCTTCTCATCTACTTCAGCCCTCCATTGCTAAAATACATTAATAGGTGGAAGTTATAAAAATGTGTCAACCACTCATTGAGCAAACACGTTATTTACCTAATTTTACAATTTGTTTATAGCAGTCCCTTGACTGCTATAAAATCAGAGAAAGAAAAGAATATCTTTCATATACAAAAATAATGTATTAGGTTAAACCTTATGAGAGTTATTTTTAAAATAACTCTCTCTTTCAGCAAGAGAATAAATTACAAATAATTTAATTTTTAGCTTTAACTCCACTTGCTGCCAACATGAACTGATTATAAAAAGCTATTGTCAAGAAGATTCAAACTTTCAAGATCTCGCCTCAAATTACAAATGCCTGAACATACTTATTTGCAGTAAGCTATGGCATTATAGAGATATGCAACAGAGTGAATGTAAATATAATCAAATTAAAATATTTAACTATTGATGTTTGAAGATCGAAATGCTAGTGAAATACTTTCAGAGTATGACCTTGAAAACCAGCCAAAGGTGAGACTCATACCTTTAAAGTACTTATTAGATTCTCGATATTATTCTTGTCTGCTGTTACTGCTTCTTCTTCACACAGTTTTGTCTCATACAGCTTTACAAGGGCTTCTGCATCTTGCGTGTATTTTATCACAAAATTAACTGTTTTCAACCTAATAAGGAGAATTAAACAACAGCCTTCTATTGGTAAATGTTTATTTTCCCATCATGCAGTCCTGACGCACCATTATGATACATAATATAGCATGTTCTTCATGTTGAAACACTGACATATAACCTACAAGACATATTCATCTGACAGTCTTTTTAATAGATAGTAGGGACCACAAGTGGTATTTAGCAAGAGATTCCAAGATAAGATGGTCTTCTTTCAAGTCTTGTTTAGACCAAGCTTGAGAGGAAAATCCTACAGACTGCAACGGCTGTTACTAAAACTTTAGGCAAAATGTGAAAAGATCATACACCGCGCCCTAATCTCTGTGGCACATTCCCTTTCAACACGAAGAAGCATCCCAAATCTTTAGAAATACTTACTATATTGTTAAGGAAAAATAAAGGTGAATTATAAATATTCATAAAGTGAATATTTTAAATGCGTGGCATATATGTAAAAACAGGACAGTTGTCGGGAGCAAAGTTACGTTAAGACAGTGGTCACATACTTCTCTATGTAGGTGGAAGACATAGAGTAGACTTGGTTCATGTTCTGAAGGACCACACTGAGCTCAGAGCGTAAGGTAGGGACTGATGGAGAGGCTGCTGCCTGACTGAAAAAGTCTTCACATTTATTTGTGATTGTTCCCAAATCATCTTTCAGACGCTCCAGCTCTTTCTTGAGTTTCTATGAAAGAGAGAACAAACATTGGTATTAGGGGTTTTCACTCCAGATGAAACAGTTTCTTTAAACAGGTTTTGTTTGTCTGTTTTTTTGTTAATCATCGCCTGAGGGTATTTTTTCCATTGATTTTTAGAGAGTGAAAGGGCGGGAGGGAGGAGAAGACAAAAGGCCAAAAGGAGGGAGAGAAGGGGAGTGAGAGGGAGAGGGAGCCACATTGATGTGAGACACATGGTTTGGTTGCCTCCCGCAGGCGCCCCAACCCGGCAGGGGATCAAACCCAGGTACCTCCCCTTGACTGACAATGGAACCCTCAACCCTTCTGTGTACAGGCTGACACTCTAACCACTGTGCTCCAGCCAGGGCTCTTTCAACAGTTTTAAAACTCACGTTTCACATTATGATCACTGACTTAAAATTCTGCATATGCTTTACTTTTTAGCAAAGAAACTAAGCCATAGTATCAAGTTTTGTTATCATTAATTTCCTCATTGCTCATCTTTTCAAGCCCAAACATCTAACTTAGTGCTTTTGCATGTAGCATATGGTCAACAAACATCTAATGATTTGCACTGTGAGAAGCCCTTACAGCCTCCACCATGATAGGTAAGAGGGGACCTAATTGCCTGAGTCAGAGGTGGAGCTGAAGTAAAGAATGCTGGTTTACAATAAGCAATAAGAACATAATCACACCTTACACAGTGACCACCGGGCAAAGTTGAGCATGTTAGAAGTTACAGGAGTTGGCAGTCATTAAGATAGTAATTTACTTTAAGTTAAATTATACCCCAACACATTTACAAATCTCACCTCCTGCTCTGTGATTCTGAACACACTTTCATGCAAATCGTCTCTTTCCAGTGGAGTTCGGATCTGTCTGATCAACCGATCTTCACAGTTCTCTAACCGAAGTCTAATGTTTCTCACTTCAGAGATGTAGAGATTATAAACTGATTCTTCTTGCTCCTCTGTGAATGTAAACATAATGATTGGAAAACATCTTGTTTTCTATCATTTGGATGCTCTTCTCGTGTTTTTTTTTTTTTTTTTTTTTTAATAGCAGTTTTATTACTACTGGAACATAGTGAGTCAGACTAATGTTACCAGATATCATCACAAACTCATCCTAAGGACATAGACCTTAAAATTGTGACCTCACAATTTACAAAGAGTTAATAAAATTTCCCTAATGCCATTTGAGGTGCCCATTTCTATCATATTATGTTCAAGGAAAGTAATATATTGCTCTTTCATGTTCAGGAAAATGTGAATTGTATTAGTTGTAGATTAACTAAAAAAGTAAATAAAAATCCTGAAAAATGAAAGGTAGATTAAAATATGTGCATGTTTAAAGTTTTTAAAAATAGAATATTACTAATGCAGCTTTTGTCTCTAAGTAACATCAAAAGACTTTAGAATAAAATTTATATTAAATAAAAATTAACTAGACAAAAGTCTTTTCCTTTAACCCTTGTGTAAAGTTTGGTTATGGAAAATCTCTACACCTTCCTCTCAGTTTTGCTGTGAATCTAAAGATCCTCTAAAGAAGAAAGTCTTTTTTAAAAGTCCAAGTTCGGTACATGGAAAAATAAATGAATCTTTTCTGAAATGAAAAGATCATCATCTGAACACTACACTGCCAAATCATGAAAATGTTGAAAAGCAGATGCATTAAGATGCCATCATTTGTCATACTATTTGGTTGGCATCTTTTTATTAATTCATCAACTAGAAAAAAAAATTAATCCCTTTTTGCATATTCACACCTTAAACATGCTTTTAATTTTTCCGCAACTGTGTCTACCTGTCACAGGCTGAGTGGCATAACATACCTAAGACTGAAATTCCCATTCAGAGCAGGAAATAGCCTATATTAAACACCTATGTGGGGTCGGGGGTGGGGGGGTAGAAGACAAGGATGCTGTGCTTTACCTCTTTCTGCAGATTTCAGAAGTTCTTGATAATACTGCTTACACACATTCACCTCCTTTTCCAGCTGTGTGATATCTGGGCCTGAAAATATCTGGGATTCCTGGCTATCTTCCAGAAAATCTTCAAAACGAGACTGTAGATTACTCAGTACTTGCTGATGTTCACCAGGTAACATTGTCTTTATCTAGAGAAGACCAGTGACCATATAACTGAGTGACTATAGTACTGAGTTAAAATTAAATGGGACAGATCTCAGATTAAAGTTTCATGGTGTAGGCCTGTTCAAATCAATAGTCATAAATACAAGAACCATTTGAAATTAATTTTCCTCTTTGTTAACAATTTCGGGTTTCAAAAAACAAAGAAGAACAAGACTCTAAAATTCATTAAATGACATTAAACTGGATTCATCTCTGGAAGTCCAAACACTATGTCCTGTCTCCCTATCAAAATATAAGCATCAAGTGAAATGTGTGATCTCCAGATGACCCCAATTCTTAGAAAGTGTCCCATAAATAGTAAGAATATAACAAATAGCATGGAATGAGTGAATGAACATTGGCTCTGCTGGAATCCATCCTATTCTATAGCACAGTGGTCGGCAAACTCATTAGTCAACAGAGCCAAATATCAACAGTACAACGATTGAAATTTCTTTTGAGAGCCAAATATTTTAAACTTAAACTTCTTCTAATGCCACTTCTTCAAAATAGACTCGCCCAGGCTGTGGTATTTTGTGGAAGAGCCACACTCAAGGGGCCAAAGAGCCACATGTGGTTCACCAGCCACGTGTGCGGACCACGGGTATAACAAATACAAACTCTATTCTTCATAACAAGGTGCCCCACATTTTGGACAGGTTAGGCTGATGTGTAGATTTAAACTTACTGAAGCCACATTGCTAGCTCGGATTTTATCAATTTCGTTGATGAGATAGTGCCAGGATACTACACTCTTCATGTTTATGTGAGTCTCATGCCAAAGGGTTAGGACATTCTGGTACTGTTGTTCAATTCTGAAATACATGAAAGAAAACACAGATTAAGCTTTTTCTTTGAACACATGCTACAATTTCTCTCTTTCTTTTTTAACGTATGTGTATGGGTGTGAAATAGCCCTTGTTTGCTAGTTTTAGATCCTTCTGATCCTGTGGGCCCTGACAAAGTATTGATTATTTCTTTAACCTTCAGAGAGCTTCCAGATCATTTCAGCTAATGCACACGAACCTGTTTGCAAAGTCAACCGCTTCTTTGTTTGGTGGAGGGACTGAGAAGCACACAGAGGGGACCATGGCCTCATTCCCCGTGGGGCTGATGACCTTCCATTTGGCGCGATGAGAGTTGTTTGCCAGAACACATTCATCATCTTTGTAAATGGTTATCTGGTTTAAAATGAAGAACAGAACAACCAAATGAGATCATTGTTGATTAATCTTTTTTTCCATACCCAAACCTTGGGAATTGTTGTTGTCATTTCTTATGAACAATGCCAGAAACTGGTCTGTTTCTAGGAGCTTAAGTACCTCGATTTGTCTGTAGTCACAGATGGCTCTGATTGGAATAGAGGTTTTGAGTGGACAGTCAGGGTTCCTTGGCTTCAGCTGAATTATTGTTTTTGCTCTCCCCACCAGGCTTGCCACTGTGCTTTTATACTGCAAGAGCTCTTCTTTCTCCTCCTACAGAGTAAATGAGACAGGTTTTAAGTGACAAAAGACTTGTGGTCTCTGTTGTTTGGGGGCTTTACAGAAATGCAACCATCAGAGAGGCCTCCCTGACCACAAGGTCTAAACTTTCAATCCCTCCCCACCCCCTCTTCCCTGGTTTTGTTTGTTTCGTTGTCATCTTCCTCGTTAGCATTTACTGTTGTCTAACATACACATATATTTTACTGATTTGCCATGTTTATTGTCTACTCCCACCTCTAGCCTGTAAGCACCATGAGGGTAGGGATTTCTTGTCTGTTTTATTCATACTCTACCCTCAGCACCTAAAACAGTACCTACGATACAGAAAGTACTTAAGTACTTGTACTTGAATGCACACACACACACACACACACACACACACTTTAAGCATTTTAAAATATCAAAGCTATCATAGAAAAAACACTTTTTTATGTTACCAAAAATACTAAAACTAAAAATGAATGTTTAAGTGCTTGATTGGACAAGGTGGAATTATTAAGAGTACTAATGAAATAGTCATGCTTCCTATAAAAATATAATGAAAACTATCAAATTCCCATTGTACATTGTACATTACTAATGAAACTTCTAGGTAATCTTCCTAGTACCATTGATTCCTGAACAAGGTCTTCCAGCTTGTGAATGCTGCTGGACCTGTCACAGCTGTACTTCCGCTGAATGGCATCTTTCAGATTCCTCAAGTGATCAGTAGCTTCTTTGGCGTCATTGAAAAACTAGGGGAAGATGAAAACTGGTTGTTAAAGTAGATTATATGCCAGTAAAGTACAGAGTGACCAAGGTCAATTACCGGGGCCCTTTGTGTACCCCTCATCGGTGAGAACAGAATAAAATCAAAACAATGCAATGTAATAGCCACATCCCTCCTTTATCCCAATAGCAACTCTTGAACTTAGATAATTATGAGTGAACAATAAATGCCCAAGGTTTGTTAGATTCCAAGCAATTCTTAGGTAGGGGTGAAATTCCGAGGATAATCTAAAACTTCTGAAGAAGAATATATTTTTGAAAAGAGTTCTTGGTAATGACTCTCTGTACTGCAAATACTTCTTTAATAAGAGATGTATTTGTAAAATAAAGATTTTTTCCTGACACGTTAAGATTGTTTTTATTAAGGATTTCCACCTTAATAGAATGCTTCAATGTATCCTTTGTGTTTTACAAACAAAGCATTTCAGTTCATTTCCCCCTTGCACCTTAGGTACACGTGTCTTACAATACATGATGAAAGCATTTCCTGTGAGTCAGCCAAAATCGCAATGCCGTGGACAGAAGTGGTGATCCCATCACATACCTCGAAATAGGCGGTGTTCTCCTTTATGTGCTGCTCCACACACTGGCAGAGCTGCAGGATCCAGTTCCACTGTGTCTGCATTGCGGCTCGGTAAGCCTGAGAGGTAAAACCCAGCTACTGTCAGTGGGGAGAACAATGACATGCATACACAGCAATGCTTTCAAAGGAGAAAAGACTCTACTATCCACATAGATAGCAAGATTTATTTTTTTTTTTTAGCAGATTAAGACTTGAAAATTAAGGTAGTGAATGTCCCTCTAATCTAAGATTATCACTTGCCTAAAGCCAGTCCTAAAAGTTTCAATGTCAACTTTTTAAATCAGTCCAGTCAGTTTCTTTCAAATTTAAGTTATTTTTTCTTAACATAGCATATAGAAGAAGCTATTTTTACGTGAAAAAAAAATTTTAACATTTGAAATGGATGCAAGCTAACCCTCTACTCCTTTCTCACCAATCCTTTTTGTACTCTGTAGAATCCTCAAGTTTCCTTTCCTTTATGACACTGTTCCTTCAACTTTATTTCTTCTCTCCGAATTTATATATTTCTGGATCATAAAACACACCTTTGACACAAAATATATGGTTTTGTAGTTTTCTCTTTGCTTTTGCTTCTAAAACTAGACCAGAAGCTCTTGGGACTGGAGTAATTAATTTATTCGTTTTTGCCAGGAAAATATTTGGGGGTTTTGGGATAGGGTAAAGAAGAGAGTATGCAATCAATCCTATATTACCGTAATTCTGGAGTTATAAAAATTGTAATACTAGAAATTTTAATTAAAACATTTGTTTGCTTTAACTTTTATTTAAGACAAAGCATATCTTTCATGAGGGCAAAAATATTGTATAAGATACCTCCTTAGGGGAACATGCAATACCCTTTTATATTTAAGGTGCAATTCACTGCCTTCCAGAAGAGGGCACTCTAGATGCTTTAAGTAAGCCTATCATATTTCCTCTTGGAAAATTTCATTCCTGCTGAGCCTATGTTCAGGCAAGCTTTTGTATGGTATGTATGTGCAATTTCCAACTGCACTGGAAATCCGGCAACATGCCATGACTATATTATCTGTTCCCCCAAATGAAGCTACTTTGAGTAAAATGGCTATTAAAGACCTATTATGCATTGTTAGATTAGTAGTTTCTTTTTCATATAAAATGTGAAATACTGTTGATAACCATTATCCATGTACGCACAGATATTGACTAAGCCAATGAATTCATAAAGATGACTAATCTTATCCCCAAGAAACATGTCATTAGATTAACATTTCTACATAAAAGTAACCAGGTTCACATCCACATTTTCTATTTCCATCACAATCCTTAACCTATAATCATGTTTCCTACCAGCTTTCATCTCTCTACTCTGGGGACAATTCCGTCTTTAGTTTATCACCGTTCAAAAGTGTATCCAGACCCTTCATTACTCCAATTTCCTTCCCTTATTACCATCCTTCCTGCTCTTGTATCTTTAACATTCCTACTGGCATTTCATGTGGATGCAAATCCCTATTTTCCTATAAAAGAAGGTCAAATGTACACACTCCTAAACTCCCCAATGATACTGAAATTTCACTCATCTTCTGTGTCATGACAATGTCAGTGAACTAAGGCATTTCTTTCTTCATCTGAGGCACTGTAAAGCATGTCCCTTTGTAAGCACAGCTGCATTTCCCTCTGGCAATACACATCTAATCCATGTCTGATGCTCCTTGCCACCTCACTTAACCTCTCCTCCCCGTCTTGTTAGTCAAATTTAGAAAGTCACTAACTCTAACAAGTATATATCAGGCCAGAAAACTAAACACACCACCACCACTGCATTTTATCAACCTGTGTGATAAAATCCCACATCAACTATCCACCTTCTGGATTAGAAATGTGCACTCCAATGAGACCTTTCCAGGGTGTTCTTTCAATGCACTTCACAAAACTAGATCCTAAGTACAATTATTAATTAAATAACAGTAACAAATACTTCTTAAGAACATACTACGCACCCTAAACTATACTAAGTAGGAACCTTACATTATTGCTTTCATTTTCACCACAGCTCTACAGGTTAGAAGCAATTTTCCCATTTAGGCAGGAAGGTAAGGCTTAGCAAGGTTATACCACTTGTGCCATGGCACAAGTCAGGAGGAAATAAAACATCACAGCTTGGAAAGTCAAAGTCCTTTTTATTTCCTGCAATTCGCCTGTTGGGTTACAGGGGTGACAAAGGTACCTTTTACTTTCAGTGAAGGGCAGGTGACACACTTAGAACAAGGGAAGTGAAAGCAAATCAGGATGATGTGTCAGAAACATTGCTGTGGAGCCAGGTTGTAATAAAATTGGATAGCTGGCATTTTTTTCAATTTGTCAGCAATGAAAAAAATACATAGGGTGATAATCGCATGTGGGTATTCAAGCATGACTATTACACCTCTTGACTCACCTCAATAGTTAATCGGGCTGGGTGATTTTCCAGAAGCAGCTGCTCTGCTACCTCCTGAACTGACTTAATATTTTCTTCCTTTTGCTCCAGTTCTCTCATTAATTCCTAATTCAAGAAAGAATTCAGAAATGCATTAGAAAAAGATCTAAACCTGAAATACCACTTTAACATTCCATTACCATAGTTGCACTTACAGCATGGTAATCTTTTTTTCGGGCTATGTGGGTATTTCTTTCACTCCAGTCATAAGCAACTTCCTCCTCTTCTTTTTCATTCAACCAAATAAGCTCATTCGTGGCCCGAGTTATAAAATTGTGGAGCGTATCAAGGTGCCGTTCCTGATTCCTGGATGTATTCTTTATAAGGAAAACCACTGTAAGAATCACATCTTTCACAAACAGAGATAAAGGAAACAGAAAGTATAAAATAAAAACTTACCAAGAGTTTTGCGTACAGACTCTCTAACCTGTGCAACTTCTCTGCGTAAGTTAACTTAAGAGGCGCCGTCATTTGGATCTATAATAAGGTGTAAGAAAGACACCAAGGTTAGGAATCTTGAAGATTTCTGATTCCTACTCAACGTATCTATTACCTTGTCACAGGGTCTTTACATGAAAAGCAAAAAAACAAACAAACAAAAAAAAAACAGTAAGCTAACATGAAATAGATACAGATTTTGAATGCATATACCTCACTGATTTTAGCTTCTTTAAGGCTACATTCAAATTCTTCAATAGCTCGGTGGACATTTTTATGGTTTTCTAAATGGCTTTCAACACTTGGCAAATCTGATCCCCATTCAGTGCGGTCCAGCTGGCCCTTTAAACAGAAAGACCCTAGGTTTAAAAAAAGGAATTGATAGCAATAAAGATGGAAACTTTCAAGTAAAGGAAACACTTTTTTTTTTTTTACCTGCATCTCATCAACCCAATTCAAAAGATCCTGAACAAATTTCATGTTGATTTCCTCTTCCGTTAAGTTCTGATCCAGCAAAGAAGACTTTAGAAGGGGCTTTCGGATCTGCATCAACTTCAGGGTTTGCAATGCATTTGTGTCTACTCCTGAATTGAAATTGGGAACTAATCCTGTTGGGAAACCAGGTGTGTAAACTGGAGTGAGGGATGGAGTCAGGCGAGAAGTCAGACCTGATGACAGGCCAGATTTCACACTAGAAGGGGTGAGGGAAGGCGTTAAACTCTGGGTCAGCCCTGAGTTCAGACTGGGGTTTAAGGTCTGTGCAAATCCTGAGTTTAAACTTTGAGTGATTCCTGATATCATGAGCTTCGTCTGTTCTGTCGTCAGCATGCGTCCTTTGCTGTACACTGAGGAACATTCATTCCTTAAGGCCATAATTTCATCGCGCAGTTTTGCTACCCTGAAAATAAAATCAAAAGGGATGAGCTATGAGCTATAACATAAAAATCATTCTTTATAAAGAGCAAGCCCTAAAGTAAACTATGGACTTTCATTAACGACAACGTGCCAATACTGGTTCATCAATTATAACAAATGTGTCACACTAACGCAAGACGTTAATAGGAAAAGGAGTCATGTCAGGAGGCATATGGGAAACTCTGTACTTTCCATTCAGTTGTTTTATTCATCTAAACTGCTAAGTACAGTCTACTATTTGAAAAATACAATGTGATCATATTGATAAAATTTTATACCACATTTTTTCCCCTCAGAATTGTACCATGAGCACTTTCATTACCACAGTCTTTATAACTATCCTATATAATAAAGATGTACTATGCAAATGGTCATTATGCAGTGAAGCGTAACAACTGACCACATAACAACTGAATCACTGATCAGCAGGAGGGTGGGGCAGCGAGCTACAAGCCCGCAGCAGAGAGCTACAGGAGAGGGCAGAGCAGCAAGCTATGAGGGGAGGGGCGGGAGGGGGGGGAGGATAAAGGAGGGGGAACAACAGGAGGGTGGGGCAGTGGCTAGAGAGCTGCTGGAGGGCAACAACGAACTATTGGAAAGCTACTGGCACACGGATTTGTGTGCAGGGCTACTAGTCATTTATAATGAACATAATTACTGAACTATGATGTGATAATTTTCCTCTTATTTGACTTTTAGGAAATTTCCAAACTTTTGTTATTATAAAACATTTCTCATCTAAACCAAAAGTTTTTATCTGTATTTATTTAAATGTTTTATTGTTATAATTCCTAAATTGTTATTGATTCCTAAAAGTGGAACAACTGAATCAAAACATCATTTACAACTTTATATATACACACATATACATTTATATATATATATATATATATATATACATATCCATATCCATATACATTGACAGCAATATATATAGCCTACAGCCAAAAAGATTCCATCTCTATCCCCAGACCTACTTCCCAGCTTTTTATACCCATGTATTTTCCCAACATTTTGTTATAAAACATTTTCATATAAAGAGAAAACTAGAACACTGAATTAAGAAAAGATACTTTTCAAATACACCCACACATATTTTAACTGTATGTTTAGTACTACAATATTAAATATTGTATGTATTATTAAATGTTTTTCTATTATTTATCTTTGAAGAACAAATACCTTTTAACACACCAACATATGCCAGAATTAACGTGACATGCATTTTTAACAGAAAAATGCGTAAGATATATAATTCACAAAATTGTCCCACTCTACATTCCCATCATAAGGGCCCAGGAAATGGTGACCCAGAAGGTCAGGGCATGAGCAGGAGAGTAGCACATTTACCTCTGCACCAACTGATCTGCATGGTAATATTTTCCATCAATCAGTATCTGCACATCGATTACATGCTGGCGTAAGAGGTTCTCACATTCAAGTATATAGCCGGCAATTTCTGCTTCATTCTGAAACTGCACCCCCGATTCTAACCTTTTAGCATCCTGTATTTTAAAAGAGGTCAATATTAATTTTGTAAAACAAAGTGTCAAAACTAGTAAGATATATTGGAACACAAGGCTACTTGAGTTCTTTTCTTTTCCCCTTATGGTTCAAAAACATGTTTTGCCTCTGTTGACTATTTGTCTATGGAGCAAATACTGCTCCGAATATTTAACAAACCTTAAGTTTCAGTGGCAAAAATACCAAGAACTGACCACATGCTATGCAAACGTTTTTAGTTCATCCAAATGCACAGATCCCTCTCCCCTAATCCCAAAGGCTCCTAAAATTAACTTACAGCCTGAAGAGCATTCCGAGCAAGTGTCAATTTGTCTGCACAGATGACACTGTCCCTTTGAACTCGGTGGGCAATCTGCTGCAACATTTCCAACCTGAAAGAAGGAACAACACAGAACATAGCCTCTCCCTCCGAAGTCGCAGAGTTCACAATCGCTGAAAAAGGCCGCCGTCCGCTGAGACTTACACACAATCCCACACCAGGCTTTCCATACCTGTGTCCATCCACGGATTCATTGCCGAAGCTAATGCAGGAGTTGATTAGCGTTGGCCCACAATGAACAGAGACAAAGTTTTCATTTGAATCGAGGCTGGTTCGAGTGCTGGTGGTGTTACTAAACACAGAGTCACTACTATGGTAGCTGTAACTACTACTGTGCATTTCTAGCCCCGAAATGATATTCTTTCTTGACCAGCAAAAGTACTACACTAGAAAGTAGATCTGCAAAAAGCTCTACTTCTAACGGTGAAAAGGTGGCAGCTGAATGTTGCTGCTTCAATGGCTCCTTAAATATGCTCCTACATGCATATTCAACACAGAGAAAAGAATACGCTGATAACTATTCAAAAGAATCTCGCCTAAAGCCACGAGTTTGCTAGCTGAGGTTTGCCTTTTGTAGCTTGCATTAAAGCGCGGCAAGTATGGACAAGGCAGGCTGATGGGGCGGCACTGAAAAAAAACCTGGCCAAATATTTCCACCGAGTGTCATCCGATCGCAGCCACCTAAAAAACAACTCAGATGCCTCATCGAAGCCCAGGTACAATTAGTAAAAGTTAGTCAGCCAATAGCAATCATCAGCTAAAAACCCACAAATATTCAGTTACAGCCTGGCTTTTATAAAGGGCCAGGTCTGAACCCAAATAACAATAAGGCTGAATGGTGGCATTTATAAGCATGGTAAAACAAATTCATTCCCATTTTAGGTTGCATGTCATTGGTTTGTTAGGTTAAATTAACTGGAGAAAGACCCACTTACCTTTCTTTCAATGACATGCTCTCAGGAATATGACTCTAATCTTACTACAGTTACTTTATTTTTTTTAAAAATATATATATTTTATTGATTTTTTTTTTTTTAACAGAAAGGAAGGGAGAGAGATAGAGAGTTAGAAACATCGATGAGAGAGATACATCGATCAGCTGCCTCCTGCATGCCCCCCACTGGGGATGTGCCCGCAACCAAGGTACATACATGCCCTTGATCGCCCAAAACCTTTCAGTCCACAGGCCGATGCTCTATCCACTGAGCCAAACCAGTTTCGGCTACTTTATATTTTTAAAAGCCAAAATGCTAAGTAGAGTATTGAGACATTGCTTGCCATTTTCATTGTCTATGCTTGTTTTTCCTTTTCCTGGAAAAGAATTTATCATTTGTCTTCTACACACTCCCATGCCAAATAGCTATTATTTGCAATATATATAGTTAATGCCAAAAAACTTGTTGCATCAAGAAAACTTAAAGTATTTATCCAGACAATATCCTAAATATCTTCTTAACCCCCCCAATACTACAAAGCCATAGTTGCTTTGATTTTTTTTTCTAGAAAGCAAAAAAGGAGGGATTTGAAAGTGCCTTATCAAATACAGGGTGTCCCCAAAAACTGTATACACACTTTAACAGCTGACAGCTCAATTCTGAAAATGAAATGTATTTTAATAAACACTTTCTTTATAATTATTCAAAGTGTGTGTATACTTTCTTAAGTGGACATCGTATATAGTTAGTAAACAGAAAATCTCAAAATAGTAAGAGCAGCTAATGTTTATAAAGCAATTATTATGTGCCTGGAAATCCACTAATCATTTTACACACACCACTTCACCTCATACTCATAACCACCAAATGTGGTAGACACTACTACATCCTGTTTACAAATGAGGAAACTGAGGCTTAAAGAGATTCATGAACTTGTCTAAAATGACGTGGCTTGACAGTTGAGCTACTAATTTAATCCTGGGATGGACTAGTTCCTGGACCTGGAACTCCTGCACTGCCTTCGTTTATTAACACATAGTAAAATCCAGAGACTATTCTGATGACTAAAAACCTACTCCATATCCCTTCTCCAGCCGACTTGGCCATTGCTTCAGATGATTATCTTAGTATCTCTCTTGAATCGCCTACAAATGTCTCCTCCATAAAAGGCCCATCCCGTGTATTTCAAGTTAATGTTCGTTCCAAAGATCCAGTTATGTTGATGTAATATTAAACTTTAACAAGAGTGTAAGCAGTGATTTAATAAAGGACTGACAAGTTACACTTGCCCTCATATTGTCGCTGCTTCATGTCCCATTTCAACAACGCTGAGGTCAGGTGAGGGGCACAGAGAGCATGAGTGTACTAAGCGCCTCTCCATATACCTGGCTCCCTGTTAAACTGGTCACATAAGGGGCAGTGAAAGCACGTTTTCCTCCACATTCTTGGAGCTCAAAGCGGTGGAACAGGTAACCCTTGGTCAAATGATCACAGAAATAGATATAAAATTACAACAGAGATAAGTGTCATGAAGGAACGGCACATGTAAACACGAGACTTATAATAAACAAGACATCTGAACCAGCCTAGGAGACCATGGGAAAATTTCTTGAGGAAGTAACCCTAAAGCCGAGATCTAAGGATGATTAGGAGTAAAGAGAGTGGGGCAGGGTGACCTGGACTTCCCTGCCAAAGGCACAGAGGGTTGCAAACCTCCTGGGTATGGAGGAGGGTGGGACCCTGGCACTCAGAACTCCCGAGAGAGCCAGTGTGGCTGCGGGAAAGGCGGATAGGTGGAAGCCCAGGCCATGGAGCTCACGGCTTCTGAGGAACAGAGATCCCCATCCCCCCTAGTCAGGCTAGGAGGTAAGGACTAGAATGAAGACAAATGCATCCAACACATCTCCCAAGGCACCCGCCAGGGCCTGAGTAGAGGAGTAGAGAGAGAATGATGAAGTCAGTGACGATTTCACGGAATAAATGCACTTGAAGAAATATCCAAAGGGGAGCTTAACCCCGATATTCACTGAGTGTTTTCTGGAAGCCACCTCACTGCCCTGTAAATGGAGGCAGTCTGGACTCTGGTTTCCATGGCCCCACAGAAAGAGGGGCACAGCCAAAACTATAAGAAGCAAAGCAAGTCCTTTATGGGCCTGTAAGCTGCCGGATCCAGGCCCCGGTGCTTTAAAAGCCAGTCAGAGGAAGACAATATCACAAGATCTCATTCATGTGTGTAACCTAATGAACAAAATAAACTGATGAACAAAATAGATCCAGAGACATGGAAGCACGGAACAGACTGTCAAATCTCAGAGGGAAGAGGGGGAAGGATGGGAAGAGATTAACCAAAGAACTTACATGTATATATGCATAACCCATGGACACAGCAGTGAAGGAGGGGGGAAGGGGCCAATAGGGAAAAAAGAATAAAAGCCAGTTTGAGAAATTCTCATAGCTAATTTGATAGGCTTTAAACCTGTTACCAACTTATTAGATGAGACTTCACGGACCAACGGAGCCTATAAGGTATTTTTTGAATACCGCTTCACTGATATAACCCCTCAAACCTCTTAGAAGAGTTTCTAGATAAGAAAATGAAACATCAGAAAGATTACGTGACTTATCCTAGGTCACACAGCAGGGAAATTAAAAAGGCAAATGTTGGTCCTAGCTCATCCTAGCTCCAAAATGTAAGTTCTTTCCATGAGGACAACGGGATGCCCACCTCTCCTCCCGGTTTCCATGGCAAAAATAGCTCAGCTCACCTTTCCACTTCCGGACGAAGCGCCTTCTCCCTCTCGAGCATGGCAATGATGAGCTTCCCCCACTCTTTCTCTATGTCATTTGGATGATAACCTTGAAGGAGTTTGATGCGTCCAAATTCTATCCAAATCTTAAGAAAATTTAAAAAAAAATAATTAATGCAAAGCAAATATGTAAAAACAAATAAATGAATAATTATACTTGACCAAAAAAAAGGAAATTTCTGCTTACCTCTAATAATTTATATAGGCGTTTGATTTTTGATTTTTCTGTCTCCTTTGGAGGAATTTCTGTTTCTTTAAACTGTAAATACTGATTGTAAAGTGCCTAAAATGAAAGGAAAAAAAAAAAATGAAAGCTCAACATTCAAAGACCTGTTTTCATTGTGGCATAATGTTACCACTTCAAATGCTACCGACTGTGTGCTAGGCATTCAGTGGAATTCCTTTATAAAATTGATACTCAAGGCCTGTACTGACTGCCAGCTAGTTGGCGATTGAGTGATGTAAGGCTTGATGAGGGTGTAACTACTGATGTATGCCGTGGTTCAGCAGGTGCCACACCGGTGTCTGCATAATGAATTGTGGTAAAACTTACTACAGTTCTATTAACAGTCTCATCATACAAACAAGAAAACACATCCTAAAAGACACACTTTCCGCCCTAGCTGGTTTGGCTCAGTGGATAGAGCGTCGGCCAGTGGATCAAAGGGTCCTGGGTTCAACTCCAGTCAAAAGCAAATACTTTGGTCGCAGGCTTCTCCCAGCTCAGGCCCTAGTCAGGGCTCATGCAGGAGGCAACCAATCAATGTGTTTCTCTCACATTAATGTTCTCTCTGTCTGTCTCTCTCTCTCCTACTCTCCCTAAAAAAAATCCTTGGGTGAGGATTTAAAAAAATAAATAAAAACATACTTTCCAAATGTGGCAAATTAGCTTTTGGAAAAATAACTGATGCAATTTCCATAAGGGGAGAAAACAAAACAAAACCTGTTCTTGTCTATTCCATGGATCTATCCTTGAAAACAGAATTCTTATCAGATAGATTGAGTTAAAACTTGAGGTCAATGTCCCGCTGGCTAAGTTAAACAGATCTCTTAGTCAACAGAGATAGATGTTAATGGTTACTGCTTTATTATATACATTTCAACCATGTAATTAAATTATTATCTAGTTTGCAGATACTAATTTGGAATCTCTTATTATATTTACTAAGAAGGACCATCATAAAATGAAGAAAGCATCTCCACATTTAATAAGTGTATACTAATTATTTCATCCTGATTCATGCTGTTGTTGTTGTTTTTTTTAAAAGTCCCTTTTAATCTTCGAGGCAGACACATTTCTGATGGACTCCATTCAATATTCTGCTGGCTAATAACATTACTAGCATTTTCTCCAAATATTTTTAATTTTTTATATTATATCCTATCCCAGGCACCAGCAAGTAATCTGGGTATTCACTCAAACTTTTTCCAAAACTTAAAGAACCTGCATTAATCAGAAGCCAGTACACATTTAGCCAAGTGTCTGACAACAGGAATCCATTTGGAAACAATTTGAACTTGAAATCTGAAAACTGTTTGGTCGTAAAACGTAACTGTTTTTAAAATGTTCATCAGTAAATAAGCACAAAATGCCATTATAGGCTAAACGTTGCTGTGGTGGATGTGGTGATGGGGGCCAGAGGGATCCTTCTTGTCCCGGAGATGTTTACATCCACATAGGGAGACTACACACAAACAGCTTCAGAGCAGTTAAAAAGCGTCCTATCAACGCGGGCCAAGTGCCTGGGTGCCAAGGACAAACTCCCCTGGCAATGTGAGCGAAGGGCTGCTTCACAGATGGTCTGCACAGAGGCCTGAACACAGTGAGTAACTTACACAGGGCCCACCCGAGGCCAATGCAGTCTTTGATCCCAGTGCGATCATGAAAACAGAGCTTATAACTCAAGGAATTAGACTTCACTGCTAATATTCACATTGTATGTGTTTCTTGAAAGAAAGTAGGCTATTTTGCTATTATAGGTCCTAATACATATACAAAGTGAGACAACACATTCTTCAATTAAGTTTATGTATCTAGAATGTCTTCTATATTTTTATAATATCTTTGTCTCAAGGAGTTAGACCTGTTTTAAGGTAGTAGCACATTTTTTTTTTAATATTTTTTTTTTATTAATTTCAGACAGGAAGGGAGAGAGAGAGATAGAAACATCGTTGATATGAGAGAATCATTTGATTGGCTACCTCCTGCACACTCCACAATGAGGATCAAGCCCACAACCCAGAGAATGTAGCTGGATGAGGAATTGAACCATGACCTCTGGTTCATAGGACAAAGCTCAATCACTGAGTAACACTGGCCGGGTAGTAGTAGCAAATGTTTTACTAAGTCATGTAATTCATTTATCCTGGAGGTCAGGTATGTATTTTGAATTCATAGTGAAGTAGAGTATGGACCTCCTGCTACACAAAAGGAGGATCTAAAGCGACTTTATAGGATTCGACACCACAGGCACAGTCCCAACCACAGCCACCCTTATACAAGCTTCCCAGGGCCCCTTCAACCAGGTTATCTGGTGAACCTCAAACATTTCCCACACACCAAACACAAAGTGGCAAGGTCACCTCTAGAGACTCTCTCAAACCTTACACCCTAAATGCAAAACTAAGGGACTATAAATTTATTTAAGATACTGTATTACGTTTTAATTACTAGTTGTTACCTCTATTATCTCTGTATAATGGGGAAATGAGTACATTTTTTTAAATGCCTATTTATTAATGGCTTGTCAAGGGCAATTTTTCTTGAAGTTCTAAATAATAGAATTGCCCTGGTCAGGTAGCTTAGTTGGTTAGAGCACTATCTCAATACGACAAGGTTGCAGGTTCAATTTCTAGGTCAGGGCACACAGAAGAATCAGCCAGTGAATGCATAAATAAGTGGGACAACAAATCAATGTTTTTCTCTCTCTCTGCCTCTCTCTCTAAAATAAAAAAATAAATAAAATTAAAAATAACAGAATTATTATAGCATTATTTTCAAGTTAAATATCAAGTCAATCCTAGTTAACCCCTGTAGTGCCACTGACCTTCAGTTCTACCGGATTATTGGGAAATGCTCTCTCAGACATTGTGGTCACATGGTGTCGAATCCACTGGATGAGGTAGTTCACCATATTCTGGTATTCAATCCATTTGACTTCAACATCCTAGAACAAGAAAATGACAGGAAAAGCCCATGGCTGTAGATAGTAAGATTCATTTCTAACACAATTTAGTCAAAGGTCATTCTGTGTAATTAGACATTTTTAAGCCTGACAGAAAGAACCGGCTAAATGATTTATTTCTCACGCAGTCCTCATCCTGTCCATGTAGTCCCAGTCCTTCCCAATACACAGCTTTAAAACCATGCTACCTACAGGGGCCTGATGATCTCCAATTCTGAACCAGAGACAGGGCTGCCTGGGCACTGAGTGGAGAAGGGTTCTGAGCTGCGCTCACGCTCAGCAGGAAAGACTTCCACCATCCACTTGCCAGGGGCTCAAGAAGGGGGACGGACAGCTTGCATTGCCACTCTGTCAACCTTTTTAGATCTAAGTCCCCTTTACGTATGAAACTCAAAAGAGCTATACATTATGTAAGAAACTAGACAGGAATGAAAACTACAGGAAACTTCTATGGTGAGATTACTCAAGTACTCATTTAGCAAACTTTTTTTAAAATGGAGAAAATTAGAAGGTTGTCAACTGCTATATTCAATTAAGTATTTGATAAGCTCTCATTACATTCAAAGCATTGTGCTAAGTGTCGTAATAAAAATATCATGTTTTAAGACATAATACCTATTATCAAAGAGTTGCCATCTAGATGGGGAGATGAGAGAGATTCATAATATGAACAGCAGAGCAAAATGAAAAGCAGTATTCAATTAAGTGTTGAAATACCTGGTAGAGTATGCTAGGAGTTGAGCTAAGAACCAGGTAAGCATCAGTGTGCCTGAAGTGGTCACTAAAAGCTCCTGGGGAAGCGGCCCTCAATCCCTGAGCAGTTCTCACACTTCCAGTAAATTTTTTTTTTTTTGGGGGGGGGGGGGGAGAAGAGAGGAGTGCATAAAAGACAGAGTCCCAAGTGAGTCAGGATTCTGAAAGAGGAATGCCCTGGCTACCAGCAAACAGTTTGTATTGAGATGTAAGAGCTAAAGATGAAAAAAAGCTCCATTTATTTATGCAGAATTTTGAATGTCAGAACATCTAGAATGGAGTTAATCATGCAAGTCATATGTAGCCACTGAAAGTTTTCAAGCTAATTTGGTGATAGTGTGCAGAGTTGATGAAAAACTATAGGAAAGCTATCATCCTAGTTCTAAGAATCAGGAATGGGGTGGAGGTAGTGAGACAATAGAATGGCCACAAGAAACATTCTCAAGCAACAGCCAAAACGGAGTCCTTGGAGAACTGCACTGACTCAGAGGAGAGGATAACCATGGAAGCAAGTTACTTAGATCAAAAGAACAAATGAAACATTTGAGAGAAAGAATGACAGGAAGAGAAGGGGGATGAGTCTAAAAGCAGCAGCATACAAAGGTGAAGTAAAATACCGGGAAAGAGCTCACCAAGATGAGCTCCTAAATCTTCGAAGTAAATTGTTTGTAATGGTGTCTGCAAGGAGGGAGAAAGGCTCAGGCTGAGGGGTGCTCACCCCCAAGTGTAGGAGGCAAATCGGGCTTCCTGTCTCTTCCAGAAACGCATAAGCACTGTTAGCATGGCCACTAAAACACGCACGGTTGAACTGAATGGCACAAACCCATGGCAAATTGTGGACTAATAAAGACCCAAAGCCACGTTTCAGAGACCTTGCCCTGCTTACAAAGGAGCTCTGTCAATCTGGCAAAATAAATCGCCTTCCTCTGGGTCCCACTGTTAAATCAGGGAAGCAATACCGAGCCAACTTCTCTCATGGAATCGTATGAGATAATAAACTTCACTGAAAGTGACTTCAAACATGCGATGTTCTATACAAATACCTCAAATAGAGCAGCTGTAAAACAGCAAGTTAAAAAATGAGTATCTCCAAAATGCAGTGGCGTATAGCTACTATTTATCAAACAAAAAAGATAACTCTGAATAGCCTACTTTATGATACAGAACGAGTTTTTTCTTGCTGTATTTTAATTTTAATAATGGAATGATACTATCCAAGTGTATACAATATCAGTTTGATAAATAGCATATTAAAATCTACTTTAAAATAAATATTTTCTATTTAAGATAAAAAGCACTATCAAAAAATTCGGTTAAGCAGACAATGCCGCCTCAGAAGCTTCCAGAATGAAGAAAATCAATACTCACATTTGCACCGATGCCTTCACCGCCTTCAGGGACTTTGGGAAATGCATCATAGAGAGACGACACATACGTTATTACTGATTTCTCATCAGGAGAGGAAACATCAACGTCTAAAAGCAGCAACACAAATTATTTCACGATGCTGACAGATTGCTATTGACCAAACCTTCAGGCCACATCTAGTCAAGACCACAGCTCACCTTCAGGATCCAGGAGTCTGTTGACGCCAATTTTTTCTGCTACATAAAAAGCGTGCTCTAAATTTGCAAGGTTGCTTTGAACAGCAACAGTGTTCATGTCTATCAGGTCCGGCCTAGGGGGAAAAAATGACTGTATTAATTACGTTTTCTCAGGTGCCTTTCCAACATTATATTTACATGCATATCTATTTATACAGCAACAGCTGCAAATATTAATTCTAAGCCTGCATTAAGGAGATTTTTACCAAACATTGCTTACTTCTCTCAGAAACATGTGTGGCAAAGGCAAGTGTAATGAGAAAAAATTATAAAAACGTGAACACACATAACTTTCGGTAAGGTCTACAAATACCTCATAATTAGAATCTATAAGAACATCTGTCCCATCCAGCCCATGCAAGTTCCACTACTCAACACCCTCCCAATCCAGCCAGTATTCTCTCGATGTTTCTCCTCAAACACAAAAGCTCATTAATGCCACACCTTTAACTCAGTTAAATGCCACACCTTGGCATGCCCCATCCATCCAGGCTGTCCTTCCCTGTCACCGTCTCCTTCTACAATCCTATTCATCCCCGCAAGCAGAGAGCGAGCCCACCTCATCAGTGGGGTCTCAGTTTTCTCTCCCTGTTCCCTGAACTCCTTATGCTCCTTGGCCTGTACTAGTCAAGTTGGCACTTAGAACTTCCTTGCCCTATTAATTCATTGTTTAATGTGCATGTACATCTTGTTTCTCCCAACTAGTCAACACCAAGATGGAAAGAACCATGTATTAATACACATTTGTATTTGATTCTTCTGCTGAGATAAAAGAATGGCATATACTTGGTAGATATTCAATAAATATCTGCAGGTAAGTTGGTAAATGGGTTGGTGAGTTAGTAATTTGAATCATAAATAGCCAAATAAGCACTAGTTTGTATCTTCATAAACATGCATGTCCACACACAAAACACTCTCTCCTACCTTAGACTTCTCCTCCTAATCTATAAGACATACATGACACTCTAAAGCAGCGGTCACCAATCTTTCAGACCTCACGGACTACCAGTTGGTGACCACTGCTCTAAACCACAAGGGTACCTCGCTTTATCTATATGAGATGAGAAAAGACTTCTAAAATACTCCTTAAATTAGGAGGCAAAATATGGCCAAAAGCCAATCGGGAAACTTTCACCTAAAAAATAAAACATTAGTGTCTGGACAGTGTTGCTCAGTGGTTGAGCATCAACCCATGAACCAAGAAGTCACCAACTTGATTCCCAATCAGGGCACATCCCTGAGTTGTGGACTCAATCCCCAGGAGGGGGGTGCAGGAGGCAGCCGGTCCATGAATGTTTCTCTCCCATCGATGTTTCTGTCTTTCTATCCTTCTCCCTTCTTCTGTCTTTAAAAATCAATAAAACCGTATTTTTTTAATTTTCTTTAAAAAAAATCAATAAAGCATTAGCCCTGGCTGGTGTTGCTCAGTGGTTAGAGTGTTGGCCTGTGCAACAAACGGTCACGGTTCAATTCCTGGTCAAGGGCAAGTACCTCGGTTGCAGGTTCTATCCCCGCCCACATGTGGGAAGCAACCAATTGATGTTTCTCTCTCACATTGATATCTCTCTCTCTCTCTCTCTCTCTCTCTCTCTCTCTCTCTCTCTCTCTCTCTTCTCTCTCTCTTTCTCTGTCTTTCTCTCTCCCCCTCCTTCCTCCTTCCCTTCCACTTTCTAAAAATTAAGGTGAGGGGGGAATATCCTCAGCTGAGGATTAACAAAGAAAACAAAAAATCATTAAAAGAATGCAGAAACAAATATGGAAACAGTGAAGCCTTCAAAAAGAGTGGCACCCAGTCCCAAAGTCACTGAGTTAGAACCCATTTATCAGCTTCTAAGAGAAGGCTCTCTGCCCCACAGGCACGCTGCTTCCACAGAAGCGCAGGAGGGCTCCCAGGCAGAGTGGGACGAATGAAATGCAAGTTATTCTCACTACTACTTGGAAGGCTGTTCACATGAGAAACTCTTTGAAATTCTACCATTCATCTTAGGAAGGTAAACAGCAATTTGTACTCCTATTTTTATCTGATGAGAATGCAGACTTCCAATGAAACCTAGTCACAGCTTTATAACTCTTTGAAGTGTTCATTACCCTGAACTATAGCTAACATTATCTACTACTTGTTTCCCAGGAAAGTCTTTTGTGTTTTGCATGCCACCAATTCGATCGCTGAAAAGTGGCCCAGCGTGTAAAGTCCACTGACACCAATAAAAGAATGAAATGACAAACCTCTAGGTTTTCATTTTTTATTCACATAGAAGCTTTTCCCCCCTACACACAGACCCTTTTGAAACATCTGCCAACTTCAGGATCACTAAACAGACTTGTATAACAGTCTAGACAAAAACAAATACCTTAAGCTCAAAAAATTGTTTTGCTTCCATAAAGCTCACACATTTGGGAAAAACGGAAACCAGCCTTTCTGAATTTGCCAAGGCCCCAACAAGAAAGAGCATGTTGTCCCGCGAACCCTGCCATTAGCACTGCGTAATCCCCGGCAGAATGAATCAAGGCACTGAAGAATCGAGTTTTTGAGAAAGAGAATAAAACATACAACTCCCTCCTGAATGACACAGTCATTTCAGCACAAAAGCAGCTGTAGAATACGTGAGTTTGGATCAGTCACCTCTTGATCATGACATTTGACACTTTAATGGAACAAAAACTGAACCGGCTTTTCCGCATTAAAAAATTAAGCAAAAAAAAAGAAAGGGGATAAAATGTTAAAACCACTATGAAGAAGTAAGTGCCTGGGCATTTTCAAAAGCCTATCCCTCCCCCCGTCCTCCTCGGAGGGCTGCCTGCCATTCTGCTTTGCCTCTCTCCGCCTGCAGCTGCCAGAAGAGGCGCTTGCTGTGGCCTGTCTCCCTTCCTTCTCTCCTCACAGCCCTGCTGGGATAACACGACCTTTACAAACGTCAGCTAGTTCCCACGTAAAGAAGATGGGTTTCATCGCACTGTGATATCTCCTTTTGGTGTAGCATTAATAGGAAATCTCATTCCCATTTCAGGTTTGGCTAACCAAAGACTACACTGTACTCTCAGCATGGAGAAGGCAGCAACCATGTCCCTGAATGATAGTTTAAGCGGCTGAACATGAACTATTTTGATTTCCTTAATTTCTGGAAACCTTTCAAAATCATGTAATTTAAAATCATTAATTTAATCCTAAAATAATATATACTAGTTGTGTTTTTTTTGGTTTTGTTTTTTTTGATTTTTATGGAAAAGAGGCAACTCTTACTTTTGTTATTATTTTGTAATAATGAAATCTTTTCTGAATGACTCAATCATCATGGATTGCCATTTTTAAAAACATATATTTATATGCCAACTTTTTTTAAAAAAATGTTTATAAATAGATTACAAAAAAGGAAACTATAAGAAAATAACATAAATTTTAAATTGGAATTATAAAACCAAGATAGACCGTAAGATGAATGGAACAGAATAACAGATCTCAGTGGGGTGTGGTGGGGGAGGGGAAAAGGAAGGGACAGAAAGAGATTAACCAAAGAACACATATGCATAATCAATGGACAGAGACCTAGGATCGGGAAGGCCTGGGGTGGGGTAGGGTTGGGTGGAGGGGGGCAAAATGGAGAAAATGAGAGACATCTGTCAGCAATAAAATAATAATAGTAATAAAATAAATTTTAAAATAAAAAATAAAATGAGGCCAAAAAATAACAAAACACTTATATGCATGGTTAGTGCCCTTAATTTGTTCAAAAAAATATAGAAAAAAAAAGGTTACCAAAAAATGGCTGTTGCAATATAAAATAATTTTGGATAAAAGTAATGCTTATCTTTCATACAACACATCTTTAAAAAGTGTTCTTCTCAACAAAGTAGATGTATACACACACACACACACATATACTTATATATGCATGTATCCATATGTGTACATGCATGTGGATACGTGTATATATAACATTAAGATATCCACATTGACAGATAACCAAACTAGTGGAGCATTAAAATTGCTTAAGCAGCCGAAACCGGTTTGGCTCAGTGGCAGAGCGTCGGTCTGCCGACTGAAAGGTCCCAGGTTCGATTCCCGTCAAAGGCATGTACATTGGTTGCGGGCACATCCCCGGTAGGGGGTGTGCAAGAGGCAGCTGGTCGATGTTTCTCTCTCATCGACGTTTCTAGCTTTCTATCTCTCTCCCTTCCTTTCTGTAAAAAAATCAATAAAATATATATATTTTTAAAATTGCTTAAGAACTTATTTTTGGTACAGATATTTCAAAGTAACTTTCTATCCTCAAGCATTCATGAATATATCAGCTCACATGAGAATGGGATATGATTCTGTGAGAAAATGCAACTATCCTATATAATAAAGAGCTAATATGCTAATGGTCATCACACCATCAAGCCTTAACGACCCATCAGCAGGAGGCTGTGTGCGTGGCAGGCGTGCATGGGTGGGCGGGGACTTGACACCAAGTCCTTCTGGACAAAGCCACAGCTGCTGCCAGAGGGTCAGGCAAGCCATGGATGGCGGCTGCTGCTGCCCAGGGCCAGTGCAAGGACCAGGCAAGCCACCAATGGCGGCTGCTGCTGCCCAGGGCTGGCTCGAGGTCCAGGCAAGCCGCAGGTGGTGGTTGACACTGCCCAGGGCCCAAGACTCAGACAAACTGTGGTGGCTGTGAGGGCCAAGGCTCAGACAGCTGCACACCTGGCAGTGGCAGCAGCAAAGGCCTTCCCATGATCGCCAGATCACCTCCCACGGAGGGAAGCCAGAGGCAGCAGCAGCGTGGGGGGTGGTGGGAGTGGTGCCTTCCCCTGATCGGCCACAGGGAGTGGCCTAAGCTGTCAGTAGTCCTGAGGGCTCCAGGACTGTCAGAGGGGGCAGGTGGGGCTAAGGGACCCCCTCCCCGTGCACAAATTTTCATGCACCAGGCCTCTAGTATTTAAAAATACATGCATATTTGAATGTTGCTGAGAGTAGATCCTAAAAGGTCTTAGCACAAGAAAAAAAAAAAAAATTTGTAGCTATGTGTGATGACAGATATTAACTAGACTTATTGTGGTGGCCAGTTTGCAATATATTAAAATATAGAAT